GTGAAAAATTTTTTTTATGAAATAAAAATGGTTTAAAATTTTTCCAGGATTTTTTTCCAAGAAAAGTATTTTTTTTAGTGTAGGATTTTTTTGCCAGGGATTTCCTTGCAAAAATTTTTTTCCCCCAAAATCCGTTTTCAGGATATTTTTTTTTCTAAAATAACCCAAACAGTTTTTACCCCCCCCCCCCCTCAAAAATTATATGGTCAGCCCCTTACATGATCCTGTGTGAAATTTTCATCCCTCAGTCTCATTTTTGTAGACTTTCATGGAAAATGGCCATATAATTCAATACTGAAATATTTGTTAGCTAAGTAAAGTTTTTTTTGTCATTTACAGCAAGCACTTTTCTTCTGCAAGCCCTTCTTCCCTGGCTAATACCATATTACTATAAAGTTCACTGTTTTCCAGCATAAAATCTCAATTTCTCACATTATTTTCGTCAAAGTAGAGACCAGTGACTCGCAGTTCAACATCTGTCGACCAACAAAATGTTGCAAAGTGTATCGTGCAATGTAGAAAGTTGAAATGCGTTATTCTCCTAGTTGAATGATAATGGAGGAGGGTTCAGCTCTTTTTTCAAAAAGTTGCAACTTGTCGAACAACAATGCTATTCTTTTTAAAATGTTGTATCTACTTCTCACGCATTCAACAAGCTGCACCATCTACCACAGAGTGCAGTTTGTTGAGCAACAAAACTAATAATTCATTAATGTTTAGTTGTGTCTCCTCACACCTTCAATACATTTGAAATGGAAAGGGAACTGGAGCCAAAATGTGTCCTGCGATTATTTGTGGGATCATTGCAGGGGACGCACCAATCAGCTGTTGGCCAATTTTGTCTCTTCCTAGTAACAGTCCCTGGCCCCAGTTCAAAAGGTGAATAGCGCTATCCACTGGATAGTGCCATATTATTGGTTTCCCTATTATTTATCCCGTGGATAGTGATTTATCCAGTGGATAGGGCTATCTAGCTTTAGAACAAGTGGAGCAAGTTGTTCAAAGTTGGGTTAAGATAACCCAGGGTTAGTGTGAGCTTTGAATTCAGATTTGAAAGATTAAAAAGCATTTCATTTTTAATTCTTTTTGTCTGCAAGTGTATGAGTGGAAGCACTAAAAATAACAGATAGAATTATCCAAGAAAATGCTTCTGAACACAAGAAAAAGAAACCCGGATTAAATTTGACCTCGCATTAAGCGCAAATCAGCCTTTGAACAACTGGGCCCAGGAGTCTTTGCAAAACTTATAAACTCTGTCTAGTTTTCTTCTTGTTTCTAAAGTGGTGACTAAAAAAGTTTAAACTGAGGTAATCTTTTCATCATTACCATATAGTTGTAATACTGCTCCTCTATTCTCCAAATTGGAAATTCTAGATATTTCCAAGTCAATACGCTCTATACTGCTAAATTTATGTTTCGCTACCACAATAATCTGCTGTCTCCATTCTTCCGCAATCTGTTTATGACAAAAAGTTAAGTCCATAGATATGACTCAAGAACAGCTAGTAATTGTCGAGTGCATTCCTGTCGTACGAGCATCAAGAAATTCACAATTTTTTTGCAAAGAACCTAGAATCTGGAACTGTCTTCCTGCATCTGTTACAAACTTGTCAAGCTTTTCTATCTTTAAGAACAAAGTGCTAGAGTTTTCCTTTAAAATAGTTACTGAATTAGTTAAGCCGCAATTCTTCGAAGCCCTTATTTCTTATAATATTGTGATGTCGAAGTGGCCTCTCCTATACGTCTGGTGGTTTCTTGAGGTCTCCTCGCCTAACAACCTGCTGTATTCTTTAAAATTTGCTGTAACACAAAGGCTAATAAATGATGATGATGGCCGGATATGCAGTATTTCCTTTCCTGATTTGGTTTGGGGTAAGAATATTTTTCCCCAAACCTCTGGTGAAACATTTTTTTCCTGACATATAATAGTGTAAGATTTTTTCCAGCATTATATGCCATGAAAGATATTTTTTTCAGTGTAGGATTTTTTTTGCTAGGTATTTCCTTGCAAGAATTTTTTTCCCTCGAAATCAGTGTGCAGGATATTTTTTTCTGAAATAACCAATATAGTCTGTACCCCCCCTCAAAAATCAAATGGTCAGCCCCTTACATGATCCTGTGTGAAATTTTCATCCCTCAGTCTCATTTGTTTTAGACTTTCATGCAAAATGGCCATATAATTCAATAAATATTTGTAAGCAAAGTAATGTTTTTATCATCGTTTACAGCAAGCACTTTTCTTTCGCAAGCCCTTCTTCCCTGGCTAATATTATCTGAAGAACACTGTTTTCCAGCATAAAATCTCAATTTCTCACATTATTTTCGTCAAAGTATGAGACCAGTAACACACAGTTCAACATCTGTCAACCAATAAAATGTTGCAAAGTGCATCATGCACCTAGAAAGTTGAAATGCATTATTCTCCTTGTTGAATGAGAATAGAAGTGGGTTCTCTTTTTTCAAAAAGTTGCAACTTGTTGAACATCAATGTTATTCTTTTTAAAATGTTGTATTTACTTCTCGTGCATTCAACAAGCTGCACCATCTACCATAGAGTGCAGTTTGTTGAGCAACAAAACTAATAATTGATTAATGTTTAGTTGTGTCTCGCACCTTTGAAACGGAAAGGGAACTGGAGCCAAAATGTGTCCCGCGATTATTTGTGGGATCATTACTGGGGACGCACCAATCAGCTGTTGGCCAATTTTTTTGTCTCTCCCTAGTAACGGTCCTTGGTCTCAGTTCAAAAGGTGAATAGTGCTATCCACTGGATAAATTTCTATCCACTGGATAGTGCAATATTATTGGTTTCCCTAATATTTATCCAATGGATAGGGCTAACTAGCTTTAGAACAACTGGGGCAAGGGGCGAGTTGTTCAAAGTTGGGTTAAGATAACCCAGGGTTAGTGTGAGCTTTGAATTCAGATTTGAAAGATTAAAAAGCATTTCAGTTTTAATTCTTTTTGTCTACAAGTTTATGATTGGAAGCTCTTAAAATAACAAAGAGAATTATCCAAGAAAATGCTTTTGAACTCAAGAAAAAGAAACCTGGGTTAAATTTGACCTCGTGTTAAGTGCAAATTGGCCTTTGAACAACTGGGCCCAGGAGTCTTTGCAAAACTTATAAACTCTGTCTAGTTTTCTTCTTGTTTCTAAAGTGGTGACTAAAAAAGTTTAAACTGAGGTAATCTTTTCATCATTACCATATAGTTGTAAAATGTTCTCGCAGCAATCAATGGGTGAAATACCTGGCATAATTTTTTATATTTATTTTAAAGGCACTCTGCTATTGTAGAAAGGGGACTTTTTTTATGTCTGCTTCATTATTTGGTGGGGCCTTATCCTATTACCATCATGCTGGAGACAGTCTTTGACTGTTTATTTTCATTTCTTGAACTGATATTAATATGTGACCATGTTTGCATTTTATTATTATTTTATGTCAATTATTTTAATAGCTAATCTACCGACTGTAAAACAATATTTGCAATGATTTCTTCAGTTGAGGGTTTGATTTCAGGGATACAGGAACTTATTAAACAAACCAATGCAGTATTAATATTTATGTACGAGTCCTTCAGTGGCTTGAAGGGTTTCAAGGTGTATCTGATGTTGTAAATAGTTTTTGGAAGTGTGCATACTTTGAAACTCCAGCAGGTAATTTCAATTTTATGTGCGTGTCCACTCTATTGTTACTTCTGTGAAGATTATCACTTTTTCAATGTAACCTTAGCCAATATGAAAAATAACTTTTTTTAGCAATTCCACCTTAGGAATTTAAGGGAATTAGATGAACTTGAGACAACAATGATGTGAACATTTCTGGTCTTTTTGTTGTTATGTCTTCCTTTATTGTTTTTAAGAGTTGGCCTCTAAGTATCTAAGGGTTTGTCTCAGTCTTGTGCAAAACCTTGATATCTCAGTAGCTGTAGAAACAATGCCTTTTCTACAAGAAGGCAGAAAGTCATTTTAAAGAGAATCCTAATATTAATCTGAAGTCATTTGGGAGTTTTTTTTGTCAGGTTCCTGGGGCACCGTCTAGGCATTACAGTCCCCTAGCTCTGCCAGCATTTTCAATCTGGCCATGCTAAAATTTTCTATTGCCTGCAGGGATATCTGATAAACTGGACTAGTAATATCCTTTAGGGGCACCCAATGACCAGCCAGGTTTACACATTACACAAAGGATCAGGGGTATGTAACCAGTAACTTTTTTCTTTGAAATAATTGTTGAAGGAGAAAATATTGACTAGAAATTTCTGAAGTTCGAGAAAGGCTACACAGTGTTGGATAATTGTCCATTCTTATAAGATATACAGAGTTTTCTACAACATGAAATTTACCTTCAATTTTTGGAGGTTTTTTTTGTAATTATCTCATTTTCAGGTATTGGTATAAACACAAACCTTTCCTTAGAGTTTTTCTGATGAATGTACACGTACTCTATTTCCTCATACTTGAGGCCCTCTTAGGGGGGCTACGTATGTCCCTAGTTTGAATTTCAAAACCTGTCTGTCTGTGAATTGAGGAGAATGCCATGTCTCTGTTGGTATTTTACTATTGTATTTGGGCTTTTCTCTGTTGCTGTTGCAGTTTCAACGCATCTTTGTGTCGTTTATCGCCATTTCAACTGTCCTGTTGCTGTTTCAAGGCCATGTCGCTTGTCAGAATTTTATCCTGACAGGGCCTTATACTTTGGATCGGGCCAATCAGAATTGTTAACAGTTTCAGATGAGACCAAAAAGCCGTCTAAAACTCTTGGAATGACCAAAGTTCCCTTAAGACATCCAAATAGGGGAATAGTTTTTAGGGCAACTCTAAAATAATCAAACAGGCACTTAACTCTAGAGACAACCATTCCAGAGACTTCTGACGCATTTGGAAACATTTGATGGCTGGGTGCCCCTGGACAGACGCTCTTCTGGTTTATTTGATATCCCTGCAGGCAATACCAGGCAATATTTAACGTGGCGAGATTGAGACAGTTCATAGAACTAGGGGACTTTAATGCCTAGAAGGTGCCCCAGGAACCTGAAAGAAAAAAGCACCTCCCAATTGACTTGAGACTAACCAAGATGCTCCTTTAAAATTACTTTTCGTCTGCTTGTAAACAGGCGAGGGAAGGAAATTGACCCCCTTGATCCACTCCCCTAAATCTACCCTACCCTTTACATCATGGGCATGCAAATGTATACTTTAAGTCATTCTCGCTTCAGCCAGAGATTTTTGATTTTGCTCCTTGTGAGCTGGTTGTACTTAGAAGGTACAATGTAAAAATTTTATCACCTATTGCAACTTCACTGTACATTTTATGTTGTGCACTGAATCTGTTCTGGTTATCTTGTAGAAACACAGTAGAACTGACAGGCTGAACAAAGATGGAGTTAATGACTCACAGTGACATTTCTGATAAAGAGCTGGTAAATACATATGGTGGTGTTGCCTACGATCATGAAAGTATGCCAAGAGTTGTTGCAGTACACAGCTGGACAGTTGAACTTCAGAATTCATACACATGTAACAAACAAGGACAAGTGCTACACCTTCCATCACATGAACTGTTTCCTCCAAATTCTTGTTATTCTATGAAGATTGATGTCAGAAGCTCACCTCAGGATAAAGGTTTTGTTAGTAAGAGAATATGCACAGTTTCCAGAGACAACCTGGACACTCATGTAAGTCATACAAAGATACTTATTTGAGATTTCTGTCTTTTGATAGTGACTTAAACCAGTATGTTTTATGTAAGGCCAACTGAGGAACTTGAAAGACTAAGATCTTGCTAAATGTGCTTTAAAGAGCAATTGTCAGGAAAACTACATGTACTCACTACTGCCTGCCCAGTCTCCCTTCCCTGAAGAGTTACGTTTCAGTTGGTGTTACGAGTTGATTAGCAATAAAAATTTTAGAGGCAACAATGTTGGAACAGTGTGGTGACAGTTTGAAGCAATTGCGTTGTGCTTAAAACATACTGTGTAACGTTGTCTTGAAATACAACTCATAAAAATGTTTCAGCCAAAAATGAAGAGCCTATCTCTAAGTTCAACAGATGTTGAGGTGTTTGCCAGTGACCTTTTTATTTTATTGTTATGAAAGGCTGGCTGGGAAAAAGTCATAAATAGTCTTCTTATAATTCGCTAGATTTTCGTTCCAAATGACTTTGTACTGCTGTATTTGCTTGTAAATAATTGAGGGAGGACTTGATATTAGATTGACTCACTCAGAGCCTTTTTCTATTCGTACTTCATCACTTGAGTACATCTTAATTAATGTTCTTTATTTTTCAGTACAAAAACAAGTTTTCTCTTTCTGATACACCGTCGTTTGCTGTGGAAAAACTCAGTCAAAAAGAGGAGAGACAGATCAACAACACAAGAACAGGAACAGGGACTGTCAGAATTCTGAGAACTCTTTTGCAAGAAAATGGCAAGAATCCTTTTGGCAAGTACTGTCATAGCGACCATAAATCACTTTGGGGTAAAGAACATGTGTTCATGCCACAGATGGGTAATTTGTTGCTGACAGAGAACACCAACACTAAAGACATGCCTGTCACAAACGTTGTACCCCTGGATGGAAAATTGATATCCCCTTGCTGTTTAAACTCGTTTGACAAATACAGTTTGGAGGCCAACAAAACTGGACCAAAAAACTTGGAAAGCCATGACTGGTCTAGAGTTGGAGTGTTAGCAGACGAAAACTCTGAGCAACTACATGTAAACTCTTCACGTAAGCGCCTTAACTCAAACTTCACCAGCTCACTTTCGTATTCAGGGCACATTTCGGAAGGAGAAGCTTTTGGGAAAGATTGCCTTCAAGGACAAACTACAGAAGTTTCTGTTCCTCAAAACAAACCATTGTTTACGCCAGCTTTGTGTAATTCAACTGGGCAAACCCAGATCTCCGAAACGCCTGTTTCACTTTCTCGAAAAAGACCGCGGAAGTCAATTCCTAGGAAAATCGATATGCATTTGGAATGGCAGAAGTCTTGTTCTAGCTCAGACGGTGAAGGAACATCAAAAGTTTCAGAATCGCCCAAGCAGGATGTATCCGGCAGTCCTTCACACGAGAGGAGCAGCTCAGAGTCTGATAAAGAGTCCTCTGGCGGTACAAAAGTGCTGTTCAAAAGAACTGCAGGTAAAAGGAGTTGTTTGTTCATTCTGCTTTTACAGGGGCGGATCCAGGATTTTTTTTAGGAGGGGGTGCACTCGTCTCTTGCTCTACTTCAACACCAATAAACGGCATAGTTTTTTTTTGTAGAATACCAGTTGTATTAGAAAACCGCAGGTCATCTCAGGGGGGGGGGGGTGCGCACCCCCTGCACCCTCCCCCTAGATCCGCCCCTGTTTTATGGGTGAAAGCCAAAAGTTGAGCTGTTAGTTACAGTTGAACTTCCATGTGCGACTACCTATCCAAAACAAAAAGATTTACCCAGTGAAATTCCTATAGTTAGAAACTCTCGTAAGCGACTGCGACGGAAATTTTGGACTGACGGTTGTTTGATTTTCCGTTGTTTTTAACCTCTTGTAAGCAACCACTTGACTAGCCTGTTCCAGTTATTCAGCCCTCGTTTTTCCCCCTCGTAATTCCCCGCGTACGATTCTCTCTCCACCATCTGAACGCCAGGACGAACCGGCTACTGCTTGACGTATGGTCTTATCTCTATGTTCACTACGTGTACATGTGCTCCGTTACTCGGAGAACCTTTAGTGAGAACATAAACTACACGTAGCGAAAGATAAAAATTGTGGGTAGTTAATTCTCCTCGAAAAAGATGTATCGGAATCTCCTGTCGGAAGGGACCCCCTGTGGACCAAGCGACCACCTCCTGTCACTTAAGGCGCTGGTTTTCACTAGCGACGGAATCGGACTCGGAATCGTAAGCGGAGTCTCAAGAGCGCGAAAATCAAACATCAGAGTAATAAGCAGAGACATAAGCGCGAAGGAGTCGGAGTCAGAAGAATCACAAAGTTTCCATATTTTCTTCCGACTCTAGTGAAACCAGATTGTCACAGTCGGAAGCAGAAGCGGAAGGATAAACCAATCACGAGGCTAGTTCCCACGCTTTGTGATTGGTTTAGTTCTTCGGCTTCTGCTTGCGAGTCCGACAGTTTACGTTTCACTTGATCGTCGTAAACGACGGAGTCGTAAGCGGAATCAGAGGAATCAGAACGCTGTTTTCACTAGATCGTTGAGTCCCATGCTTCTGATTTCGACTCTGACTCCGTCTCCGTTGCTAATGAAAATCTTGGGTGGTTGCTTACGGGAGGTTCGACTGTATTTTAAGACTGAGTATTTCTTGCAGAACCTCATTCAGCTGTAAGTTTTTGGGAGGGTTTTGGTCTATCGACGCCTTTCTAAGGCTTAAATATGAACTACTGTACTTTGATAGCGAGGAGTTTTGAAAATAAGGAAAAGTACATATATTTCTCTACTTGCATGTAAGGTGTTTGGTCCGTTTCCCCAGTGCATACAAGTTCGGACACGGAAGAAGACAAAGTACTTGAGGACTCACCCAGCTGGAACAGGGAAACATCACAAAGTCAGTTACCTTATGGTAATTCTGGGAATAAACAGGCAACGAACATTTGCGTCTTTACAGATCGACCTATAGCTTCACTTGTACCATACAATCCTTTGGAAAATGTCAACGTCGAGCCTATATATTCTCCTGCTTTAGATCGAGAAGCTCGCATTAAAGAGCTGCTTAGCAAACAAGAAAAACTTCTAGCGAAAATGCGCCAGAAAAAAATTGACGAGGAATGAACGATTGAAGTCGTCAGCAGTGGTTAGCCTTTCGCATGGACTTGAATTTATGGAAATCATATATCCTTGGCTAAGCTTTGAACTCAAAAGTTTAATATTGTATGTAATATACTTGAATGCTACTACTTGCGCATCACTCGCAATGGTCGACGTCAGATAAACTGGCTTTTGCGCCATTACCCACAATCGTTGACGTGCTATAGCCGCATAGAGACGGACGTACAGTACCCTCTACGATTCTCGCGGGGACTCGCAGCCCAACCCTTTAGAAAGGAAAATTCATTGTTACTGTATATGAACGAGAAGGACGATAAAAACCGGATATATGTACCGTTAGTTTCATAGTTGTACCATGTTACGTTACCATTTGCAGTTTCACCGTCAAGTGTTAATATTACTTGATAGGATGCAGAGCGAAACATAGTTTTGATCATTCTTTTTGTAATGATGAGGGTGCGATAATGTTTGTTATTTTAGAGAACATTTGTTTTATTCCACAGCGTGGAATTTTAGATACACAAGAATATTTAAGGGTATTTCTCTTCGTGGAGAAGATGCACTTTTTGTGACCTGAACCACAGCGAACCGATTTGGTTTTTGTACCACAATATTTTGAAGTGCCCAGGGCTCTCATTAAAATTTCAAGTTGCCGAGCTAATGATACAAGTAGGCGAGGAATACAGCAGCTAGGGATTTTGTTTGATTCTATTTTTCTCCTATTTTCCTACAAAAGTGGGGGGGGGGGGGGGGGGGCCGTATGTTAAAAACCCTGGAGAAAATTCCCTCCCCCCCGCCCCCCCCCCTCCGCGCCCTGCCTCGGGCGCCCGGGATAACCCGGGGCGTCAAATCAAAGTAAACAAAATCTCCATTTTTGGACACGTAGGGGGGGGGGGGGGGGGGGGGGGGGGGGGGGTCACGTTTATAATAGCCGTGGAAAATCCCCAGCCCCCAGCCCCCCGCCCTCTGAGTGCCTCTGAGGGCCTCTGAGGTAAGCAGTGGAGTTAAATCAAAGTAAGTGAAATCAGCTATTTTGGAAAGTTTTGTCTGTGCTTTTGAATAGGGAGCTTGAGCAGCTACTGGGGCGACGGCAGCAAAAACTTCCCCCATATTGTACTTTGTAGATTCGCCTACTCAATGATTCATGGCAGTTATTCCATCTCAAATATAGATGAATTTCCAGGAGTTTTACATCCAAGTTAAGAAGAATTCGTCGTTGTGTGTATTTTATAAAACGATGCGTAATGGAGCGTACAGAGCACGTCAAGATATGTGCGGTGCCAAAAAACGTAATGCATATGCGGTATTATTGTCTGTTAATTTTAAAGGACAAGGGAGACTCACTTTAAACCACAGAAACAACAGTGTTTAATGTTAAATCAAAGTGGTATATTGAACATTGAAAGATAAATTTTGAAATTTGGCAAAATCTATTTTAAAGACGCTTAATTTTACTTGTACAACTGTAATTTATTCGTCCTCTTTTTAATACTTTGATATTTGCCCACTTTTATTACAGTTGAACTTCTCTACACTCTCTACAACTGCCACCTTGGGGACAAAATAAACTGGCCATTGTAGAGAGGTTGAAACAAGCGTGAATGTACGGACTGCCCGCCAAAAAAAATGGCCGTTGTAGAAAGGTCGCCGTTGTGGAGAGGTGGCCGTTAGTGAAGGTTCGACTGTATACAGTACACAGGTCTACACACATGAGTCCTGCTTATAACTGAGGAGGAAAATAATCTAGCCAACCTCTTTGAGACCGTATTTGTCTTAATAATTTGCTACAGTCAACCAAAGATTTAGAGCCATTACAGAGTTGTCCGTTTTATAAGCATGGGAAGTGTATGAAGTTTGTTGTCTTTGTGACCTGCAAAACACTTTGTGATCCTCGGCCTTGATGTATTGACCTCGCTACTGCCTCGGTCTGAGATTTCCCTGTAATGACCTCACTCTTGGTTAATAAATAGTAATTTTAGCGTGATGAATACAACAACAACACCGGAAGTAATTTTCAACATCCGCGCGTAAGAAGTCATTCGAGCTCTTGTCCCGGGGTCGTGTCCAACTTAGCGATGCGATCGAAGCCGCATGACACAGTTTCTTTGACAATGAAGACCCCCCGTCCCCCTGGCATTTCCATTCCTGGGGGTGCATGTCAGACCCCCTCACCCCCTGGAATTTACATAATTTTCCAACTTGGTTAGGCATCCCCTGGAAAAGATATTTCCGTTTAAAATGCTGTTGCACTAAACCTTTGTGCTAAAGATAATTATTTCCGCGATAGAGAGAAAAATCCTTTTATTCATGTTAATACAATGTCTAATAATCTCAATTTTGCCTTGTAAGGTCTACTTTGGTAATTAACGGTAAGTCACTGAGAAACAATACCTCATGACACGAATGATGTCTCTGTAAAAGAACCAGGTAAATTTAATCTAAACACCAAATAGACTTCAATAACTTCCTTTCAGTTAAATCATGTTAGAAGATGGCTTAGAACGCGACCACATTACGGTGAATACCACAATATATTGTGTAATAGAGCAACAGCTAGATAACCGGAAGTTTATTCATGAGCTGATGACAACTATCAATCGTGTAAGCCGTGAAAAAAGCATTCCTTGCACCCATCCTGTAGTCATGGTGACCGTTAGGGCACCACGGACCCAGCAACCCTTTCCCTCCATTTGACTTTTTTCCTTTCAGATTCTCTTAGGTTGCGTGCAAACGGACGCAACAACTCCCAACATTGCTGCGCCAACAACGTTGGGAGTTGTTGTGTGCGTGTTGGCAGTGGTGTACAAACGGATGCAACAACTCCCGACAATGTTGGGACCTGCAGTGCATCGTGAGAAGGATACAACCCATAAGTCTTTGTAAACCATGCGTAATGAGCGTGCGTGACCGCAACAATGTTGGAGGAGCTGTGCAAACGGATCCAACATTGTTGGAATACACATGAGAAGTTTTGGACCTGAGCCCGCGAACAAGTAAAAACCATTAACTGGTCAGCGGATAGCTTTATGTTGTACACTTGAGCCCGCGATACAGTCATGTGACACTGATCAGCAGGTAGCTGTTTTGACTGCTGTCAATTGACCATAATATGGGTGTCCACTATCACAACTGAATTGAGGCTGATCAGACAGCTGACGGCTGGTAATTTACAAATTCAGCTTAGCAGCCATCAGAGCGCGCGTACTATTGTAGCCATATAATAGTAGGGAAATATTCGACTGTGGAACGAAAACTGTCTTTATCCCTATGCATCCGTCCAATCAAGGGGTCGACCGAGTTTTTGGCTAGATATTTTAGAAGAACAATTTGAACCAACGATGATCCTGTGAATAGGCTTCGGATGCTCTTGTTACTGGCTGTTTGATTTTACAACTGAGTGTTTGTGTTTTACCTTGGGTGACATACTTTGCAAGTCTGCGGTACCCTTCAAACGAACACAGGGTCAGCGTAAACCTTGGTATCTGATTTAACTGGTGAGGACTTTTCAAACTTGTTAACTGTATTGTAATTAAGGGAGTTAATATGAACCACCAGGTTTTCATGGCTTCCGGGTAAAGTACCAGTGGAAACGTAGAACTACTACTCTAGCCTGTGTACAACCGCCCCTCCCCTCAAAAAAATCGATTTTTTGAGGGGAGGGGCGGCTGTACACAGGCTATCTTTACTCTTGAAATTATGGGCCAACCTTGGAAGGCTTGGCACATTTTGTGGACAAATCATTGACTGAGGCCAGCCCAGATGGTGTTGCGTCAGTGGTTACTTTTCTGTTAATAATATTCATCTCTTCTGGACGTCTTTTCCAGCTTCGAAAGCCGTTTGATCAACAATCTCTTCACATTGCAGAGAATGTCCTTTTTATAAGGAGTTATCTCTCTAATAATTCTCTCAGCAATAATTTCAATTCTGCGGCGTATTTCATTGGGATCATCCACGTTCGATAGGTCTCTAGATTTATTCTCATGGCAAACAGATAATGGGAGAAATCCTCCAATTGCCAGTCTCTGTCTAGCAAGGTCTTCATTTGGGTCTGCATATTCCCTTTGGACCAAAACATTGCTGTCGACGTGATTGTTAAGCTCACGGGAATCCCTATTGACAAGCTCTTCTGGCTTAGATATGTGTAGACTCTGTCCAGGCTGGACAGTGGATGAGTGGATTGCTGTTTGCTCGGAGGACTCGACCTGGTAATTTCCTGGTGCGTTTTGTCGAAGACCTGAATTGTTAAAGCACTCTTCGCTAGATCCCCCATCATTGCTTGACGTACCACCTAACATTTCATTCAGCTGTATGTTCTCAGTTGAAGAAAGATTTTCGGCTTGGTCCAACTCTTTCCACCATGATTGCCTTCCTATATCTTCTATTGTGTGCACCGCCACGATTTTAGGAAGATCGCCGTAGTCGAAAGTGTAGCCACCACAATCATTGAATGTTATGTCCTCTTCATATATTGTTTTATTTGAAACGTTTCTTTCCAACGGAAGTGCCGCAACCAGGAAACTTTCTCCGTCTTGGCTGAGACTTGTCGTGACAGGCGTGTTATTACTGCAAGTTTCGTGACTCAAAGATGTAGGGTGAGGGAAAGCCGCTGAATCATTCAGTTCACCATCCCCGGGTTCTTGGGTTATGATATTTGGAAATGCGCTGTCAAACATCGGTGTCGCCTGCTCTTCATAGATCCCTTTTTTTGAGTCTATGTCTGGCGGAAGTTGAGGTAGAAAGTGCTCACTGTCTTGGTTGAAATTTGTAGTTGGAGGCGTATTATCACTGCAGGTTTCCTCACTCTTAGAGGTAGAACAAATGAACTGGACTTCTGAATCAATCGATCCGTCATCCTTAATTTTGTTGGCTCTCATGTTTTCAAATCCGCTGCCAGACGATGGTGCAGCCTGGTCGTGCTGTTGTTGACTCAAGAATCCCTGTAGCAGTGATGTTTGAGCATTAATCCAGACTGTCCTAACTTTTTGGCTCTGAAGAAACATCCTTTTAAGCCTTTTATTAGTCTCTGGATTAATTGTTTCAGACAGCGTTATTCGTTTTCTGAGACTTTTCTTTCTTCTTTTTTTCGGCTTAGTTTTTTCTTTAGCTTTCTCATGGTCATTCTTCAAAGCTTGAAGTTTGCTTTGTCCATGAGAATGGGTTCCAAACGTATCATCGCCAATGTCACCATTAACTTGTGTTGTGGCAAGATGAAATACTCCTGGGTTTTGTTGAATTAGTTCTGTACTTCTAGATTGTCCTTGTGTAAACAAAGTATTATGATGGGGTGAAAGGCCTTCTGTAGGTGGTGGAAAATGGCATTGCATTGAGATTTGTTCCATGCAATGACGCCTTTGCAATTCAGTCAGTTCTTCGTTATAGGTACTAGGCTCCTCTGTTTGCCTTGGTGAATTTGGAAGGGACTGATTACCGCCCTGGCTACAGATCATTTTGTAACAGCAGCAAAAATTAGCTCGGCATGCACACAGGTTACCGTAACTCACATCCATGCCTTCGGTCGGCGAAAAAATGGGTTCCGCATATCGCCCATTGTCGCGATGAGTAATGTGCGTGCATGCGCCGTAGCTTTGATTGTATAAAGGGATCAAGAACCGCGCTTGTGATGCTCCTTTCATAAATGATGTAGATGTGTTATGCAATGCATGCAATGCACGGCCAGGCCCCAGTATTGGAGGAGGTGGAGGAAGACCTTCCGTTCTGCACGGGAAATAGTTTGAATCTAGAAAAAAGAAAGGTATACTAGCAAGGTGTAAAACTGACCTGATGACGTGTTTATTTTTTTTTCCTTACGTCTAACGGGGCTATGTCAGTCACGCTATTTGTTATCTTTTTAAAAAGCTAAAACTTGTCTTTACATCAGTTGAATTCCAAATATAATAATGGTCCAGTTTTGTTATTTACTAGTCTATATTTAGGAGTTTGCTGTCGTCCGTTCCATTAGAGCTCATTAACATACGGAAAGGATGGACATAGATTGAAAAAGTTCGGCTATTTTTTTTCACGTTTTAATGCTATGGCTGCAAAAATCACCAAAAAATTATTATGGTTAGTGCTCCCTGATGAAATTTGTTTGTGACGCCTTCTTTGTAACTTTACAGCATCATACAGTGCATGACTGAAGGCACTAATTAATTAATGACTTAAGCACAGAGTTGACCTTAAACAGCAATATCCTTGTGACACGATACCGTAAAGTCCCACTTTAAAGCCCCCCCCCCCCGGAAAAAAGCCTACCCATTTGCTAACGAAAATATTATCCCGGATATAAACCCCTCCGTTTTTAAGCCCATCTAATATATCAGGTTTTTACTTTTCCGTTTCTTTTCAGATAGGAAGAGAGTCGTGTGGGGAGAGAGGTTGATTCTCGGTGGCGAAAGACAAAAGTGAACTTAAACCACATCAACATTGTTCCACTATGCACGAATAGCTCACTTTTAAGCCCCCCCCCCCCGGATAAAAGCCTATCCATTTGCTAACGAAAATATTATCCCGGATATAAGACCCTCCGTTTATAAGCCCATCTAATGTATCAGTGTGTTCCTTTTGCGTTTCTTTACAAACATCAAAATTTGTTTTATAGATGTTGACCAAAACCCCTTATGAAGTTATATAAGCCCAGGGCTGTAAAGTGGGATTTGACGGGTAGCTCCTTTAAGAGTAAGCCGTGAGTATGAAATAACCTTACCATTAGTTTGAAAGTTTGATTTGCTTCTTGTCGAATCGTCGTAATTGAATGGCGAGGAGTGGCAAGCGAGGCCCAAAGTGGAGTAACGAGAAGGAAGGTACATTTTTAACAACTTCTGCTCGTGACCTGAAAATATTATGAAGCGGGAAATAATGTTTTTCCAACATTGAGCGTCATTGAACTACTAACGAACGTCAAAACAGAGAAAATTACAATCGCTCATTTTAGCGCTTTGATTTAAAATTCGGTAGACTTTCCCAGTCCTTTACAGGTAATGACTATACGTGAACACCATTCCTAATCCTTCCTACGAGAAAGTTAAGGGCGGAATGAATTTGTGGTGTGACAACTGTATTGCACACGGAATGTCTCAAAATCATGCAGAAAGTCCTGTCCGGTCATGAAAATTCGACCTTGTGTAATGTAATTGATATTTGGGAGTGTTTTGCAAATTCGTTAATTTTTGTTGGCTGTAAACTCACAAGCTTAAAGATGTAAGTTTAAGTAAGTACTCATTTATAACCTAAAGGTGTGCTCTTGTATTACATACTTAACAGTTGTCATTCAGTTCCCCTAAAGTTGTGACCAAGATAGTTTCATTTTGTCTGTAATGATTCAACAATTTTTCAAAATGACTCATTTTCGAGCATTTCTTGATAGTTTTAGTCAGTTGAAACAAAAATATATGATTTCTGGCAACTTAAGCTTTAGCTTTCTTGAAAGTAAAGTTTGCGTGTCCAGGTTATGCTTTTGTTCGAAATTTAGCAACAGGATCTGGCTTTCAAGGCAAAAAGAAGCATCTTTTGACATTGATAGTTGACTGTTATTGTAAGACAACTTGTGGGATTTTTAAGAGTCAATTAATTTCCCATGCAGATTGTGGTTGTCGTGTTTGATGTCAACACCACAATATTCTATGTACACTGAAAATTTTGGGGCACGAATTTAATTCCTTCCAATTGTTACCCTAACCGTTTATGAGAGACTAATTTCTCTTCAATGATAAACCCATCCGAATCTAAGCCATTTAAAGTAGGTCTTTGAAAATTGTAAGCCTCGAGACTTTTATCGGATTTTTACTTTGAATTTTACGATAATTCGTGGGAAGCTAAGCGTGTTATTTGGTTCCGTTAAAAGTTTATTCACTCGACAAAAAATTAGTTGGGGGTGTATCCGCTCTAAATGAGACCCATAATCAGGCATGAAGATTAATGAAATCACATTTTGTATTTGTAGAAAAGCTCCCTACATTTTCCTCGATAAATTTGTCAAAGCTTCTGGTGCCATGAAATTGCGGTTTTGGGATTTAACAACTGTTCGTGATTTTGGTTTGTTGACTCAGGTATTCTTCGCTCACTTGTCCTTCTAAGTACCTCTAAATATTAACCCTTGGAATCAGGGTCATCGATTTAATGGAACTAGCTTCCTCGTGGGGAGGGGGGGGGGGGTTGACTCCCGTATGAAAGGGGCGGTGTGTGCACCCTATGGCGTTTTAGTTCTTTAGTGGTTTGGCGGAACAGACCCCCCCCCTAAAGAAGCAAATTTCTCTTTTTGGTATTGCCACTTTAGTCAGTCGGTCATGATCTTATGCTTAGAAAAATAAATAATCACATGCAGTTTGCTTGAGGAGCAAAGTATGAAGATTATTTACCTACTTAAAGGCTTAACAGACGAAAAATCATCACAAACACATTCAAGGGCTTATAAAAATATTGCACGCTATGAGCTAGGTAATAAACACGGAAACTTGAAGCGAAATCAAGTTGAACCGTTGCTTAATTAAACCACAAGGCACATGAAGGAAAGGATTCAAAGAGAAAAGGGAATCCCGGATTAAAAACAGTTGAAGAAGGACGAGATTTGCAAAACGAAAAGAGGCAACTAGTGTCGAATTCAGATGCGTTACTAGTACCTTGTGAACCATTTATAACATTTGGAAAAAAATAGTTTTTAAAGATTTGACTCGCCTCTTTGTAGACTTCCGTACGGATTGCAGACGTCCCCAGAAGACGTTTGCATTATCTTCTAGTTCTCAACCCTCTAGTTCTCTCGCTAGCTTTCAACACTCGGATAAAAACTTACTCCCTCGTTTGTAAGTCAACTGTGGCTTACGGGTGTCCCCTTGATTACGTTTCGAAGACGATTGGGGAGGACCAACAGGAACCACAGGGACCATACGTTTAGCCTGACATGAACTGTACATGCGCGAGCACTAAACTGGTATGGAAACTGAGTCTCAATTGTAAATAATATTACTGATATTCAATCAGTCGAGTATGACTGTAAGAGATACAATAATACCAAGGTAAAATATACTCTCAAAACTAGTTTGACTAGTTTTCTCACTATTAACTCCATCCTACGCAACAGCTAGAGCTCTCCCCTGCCGGCTCACATTGCACACTACTTCTTCTTAATCATTACTTTATAATCATTTCTGAACATAACTTTAAATGCTGCAGAGCCAAATGTAATTATTTTGTGGTATTGGTTATCAATTATCTACATTTTAAAGTTGTTTTTGTCTTAGGGTCTTTTTAACCTTTTTGTTTTGTCGGCAAAGGGACGCTTAACTTTGTTCTGTTGTTTACTACTGAAGAGTCAGTCACACTTACATCGCGAATAGATATGTAGCTCGGCTAAATACCGGAATTTGCAAGGCAACCTGATTCCCAGGGTTCTCTCCTACCCGTCCCTACGGAGCGAGAGAGAACCTGGGAACGAGGTTGTTTGCAAGGTACTCCTGCCAATAGGGAGCTTTAGCAACGACGACGGCGACGGCAACCAAGACGTCAAAAAAGCAATGGGTTTATTACGCAAAACAACAACTTTGCACGTGCATCACGCTTTTTTGTACATTTCTTTACCGTCCTTGCACGACTACGGCGTGAAAATGCCTAATTACAAGTTTTATGGAGGACGTAAACAAGCGACGACGAATCTCTTTTTCTCTCTCTAAACTTGGGTGCGGTCCTAAAGAAATCAACTCCAGGGAAATTTGCCTACACTTGCCATTTTCAGCAAATTGGAATAAACGCGACAAAGATTGAAAAAACGAGTATTCATTTTAAAACTGACGTTTCCGCTGCCGTTGCCGTCGTCGATGCTAAAGCTCCCTAATATCTATGGGCGCTGGCATCCCAGTTTTATCTTCCTCGCTCTTCTCGTTTTATACTTGTAGTCTAAGGCTGATCGGTTAGGATTTTAATTTAGTTTTGATTAGCTATTTGCAGTTGTGTAAAACATAACACTAGCAAGCCATAATATACCCGCGAGGATTTGATACATTTTCAAAGGAATATTTATGCATGTTTCTGGTACACATTTTGTTGCCAGGACATACATGCATAGGGTGGTGGCGGGAGCGGGGGGGGGTGCTGTAATCTCAGTTCGGCGAATACTAAGATGGTGAATTCCCCTAATGACAGTTTTCTCAGCTTTCAGTAACATCTTTGGATGACAGATCGTAAGACGCTTCGTGTTTTAGCTTACTTTGATTAAAATCTCGACGAAAATCTCGACTAGTTCTCAGCTATCGGTTAATCAAACCAATAGGAGAGCTTCGGCTTTCAACGGCTCTTACTTGAGCCCAAGCATAGACTCATGAAAGCTTGCAATATTTTCATGTGAACCACTGAAAAGAACAATTTTCATAGAATATACAATGCGCAGGGAAATTATATTTTCCGAACTTACATCATTATTTGTGTAATGCAAGGCAACGATCCACCGGGAAAAGTAGAGCATTTTTCCCTTTATTTACCGCACGATTATCCGGCGTATATTCGCCCTCGAATCCATCGTTTACGGCTCAAGCACCGACACTAGCTAGCCATGCGCTCTAGCCAGTTCAGGCCCCTGTGCTATCATGTTTTTTTTGATCTGTTGTGTACGCAGTTTGCGCGCATATACCCATACCTGTAAACAGAACAATGTCGAAAGCAACTTCCAAGGGTTATTAGTTGAAGGGAAGTCGGAATCTACCTGCATCCTACTGAGTGTTGCTCGACCCAAGTTGTGAATATTATGCTAGATACCCTTAATTGCTATAACGTTGTTATAGAAAAATATAAGAAAGAGAAAAGCCAAATTGGAATTAATTAAGAAAGTAAACTAATTTTAAACATTACAGAAATGAGATGTGAGGTGGTCTGTACGATGACGGCTTTTGACTACTACTGCCAAAATTCCTTCCGGCCGGGTTTTAATTTCTTGTGCTCGGCCATTCTTATTTAAACCTTGTTGGGATTATCGAATTCAAGAACGAAAGGCTGAAAAACGAAATGGATTCTGGTGGGAGAAGTGAAATGACGCTATTGTGCAAATGGCCTGTTAATGTTTGATACCAGTCCTTTGCCGTCAGCCAATCATAGGGGAAAAACCGCATTTTGGACCAAATCCTTCTTTTTGAACCGTTTTTCTGCTAATTGGATGTAATTAAGCAGCTTTTTGTTTTTTGCGCATTTGCATAAGACAAAATTTGGATTTGTTTGTTTGTTTTGTTTTTTTGCGATTCTATTTGGATTTTTTTTTCTCACAGTTTTGTTGCCCACTCTACCGTCTTTCCTTCGCATGAATTTTTGGAAGAAATTTAATCTGTAAACTTAAGAGTAGTAAGTAAATAGCAAAATTGGTAGTGGATTTTTTCCCCAATTGTTGCTTGTTTTTTGTCTATAACTCTGTCAGCATAGGTCAAAATTTGCTAAATGAGAAACCAGTGGAAAACTCTCTCCTCGTTGATTTTGCTTATTGCCATTTTAATAGCTTTAATGGAAATCTTAATGGGTATCAGAGTCCAGGATGAATAATATGCATAGGACCATGTGGACCCAAAACCACCCAAGCGGACGACAAACTGGAGGCGCTGGTGCAATGGCGGATCCAGGGGAGGGGTCCGGGGGGCCCGGGGGGCCCGGGCCCCCTGTTATTTTTAGACCTAAATGAGGCCCGAAAGGCCGAAAAAAAATTTTTTTTGAGGCTGCCCCCCCCGCTTATCTCAGGGTCTTGATTACCGCCCCCCCNGACGCTATTGTGCAAATGGCCTGTTAATGTTTGATACCAGTCCTTTGCCGTCAGCCAATCATAGGGGAAAAACCGCATTTTGGACCAAATCCTTCTTTTTGAACCGTTTTTCTGCTAATTGGATGTAATTAAGCAGCTTTTTGTTTTTTGCGCATTTGCATAAGACAAAATTTGGATTTGTTTGTTTGTTTTGTTTTTTTGCGATTCTATTTGGATTTTTTTTTCTCACAGTTTTGTTGCCCACTCTACCGTCTTTCCTTCGCATGAATTTTTGGAAGAAATTTAATCTGTAAACTTAAGAGTAGTAAGTAAATAGCAAAATTGGTAGTGGATTTTTTCCCCAATTGTTGCTTGTTTTTTGTCTATAACTCTGTCAGCATTGGTCAAAATTTGCTAAATGAGAAACCAGTGGAAAACTCTCTCCTCGTTGATTTTGCTTATTGCCATTTTAATAGCTTTAATGGAAATCTTAATGGGTATCAGAGTCCAGGATGAATAATATGCATAGGACCATGTGGACCCAAAACCACCAAAGCGGACGACAAACTGGAGGCGCTGGTGCAATGGCGGATCCAGGGGAGGGGCCCGGGCCCCCTGTTATTTTTAGACCTAAATGAGGCCCGAAAGGCTGAAAAAAAATTTTTTTTGAGGCTGCCCCCCCCCGCTTATCTCAGGGTCTTGATTACCGCCCCCCCACCCCCCACCCCTTATTTGAAAGTCTGGATCCGCCACTGTAGTGCCCCGATTCACTGTGCTGAAAGTCGAATTGGATAAGGCTCTTATTTATTTATTTATTTATTTATTTATTTATTTATTTGTGTCTGTTTATAATACCTGGACTGCAAGCAGTGTCTAAGAAACGAGGGCGGCAGCCCGAACAAAACTCTTTTGCCGGTGCTCATTTTCTTGTCTTGTGCGTTTCGCTCGACGGAGTCTAATAAGAAAAAAGAGAGACTGCTTGTAGTTTAGAAATACTGGGCGCTTTCCATTTACCAACAAATTTCGGAAATTCCGGTTTGGGTGCAAATGGAGTAGGGTTTTCGAAAAGATATCCGGAGCAACAGAACGTCTGAAATGGTAGTCCTGTTTTTCAGGACGGAATGTTAAAAACTTAAATTTATGTTCCAGTTGTTTAAACCCATCTTTGATACCAGTTACAGACTTGGTCTTTTTTTCGGTAAATGAACTGATTTATGCAGACAGTTATCGAGATTTCGGAATGAAATTTACTGCTCCGGTACCGAATTTTACCGATCATTTGCCTAAACCGTGATCTGATCGGTTTACCATGTGAATGGAAAGCGCCCACTGTCTCTTTCGAATTTCTTCTTATTCTCGTACATGTATACTCATAAATTTATTACAAGACAAGGCAATAATCCCTTGAGAGACGGGGTGTCTTGAGAACATAACATGAAATCCCGGGGGGGGTACTTTGGGAATTTCTGGATGGGGATGTGCCGCTGGGACCTTGGAATCCTTAACCTATACCAGAGCTAGTTCAGCTGAATTTTGCTACCCTATACTAGACTAAACTCCCCAAATCCCCCTATCCTAGAGTAGCTGTTTCGCTAGTCTAGATAAAATCTTCAACCAGCCGATCAGTTTCCTGAAAAATGATACCCTATTCTAGACCCAAACGCTCTGGGGCCGGTTGCTCGAAGCCTGGTTAGCGCTAACCGATGGTTAAGAGGTATCAAAATGTATAGGTTTCCATGGTATTTAACGCTGGTTAGCACTAACTATGCTTCGAGCAACCCGGGCCTGATTTATATACCCTATCCTAGAGTAAACTGCTTGAAAACCATACCCTTCACAGCGGCATATACCTATATAGCCCATATATGGCAGTACCCCCCAACCCCCGGGCATTAAGAAAACAAAAGAAACAAGCTAACCAGGCTCATTAGCCTTTGGTATCAACAGTTTTGTTTTTGTAATGTTTTGTTTTTTGTTTTACAAGTGTAAGCAAACATAGGAAGGGCAATAAGCTAAAAAGGGAAAGTGTTGGTAATTGGAGTATAAACTTTAATAAAGTTTTCGAAGCCAACCCCCAGCTGTGCGGATAGGACTTGATATAACTCAAAAAATATCCATCAAACAATCACAAAACCGTTGGCAGAACAAATTAAGACGATCCGGTTCAAACAGTCACAACTCTCCCTCAACAAATTAAATACTAAGTAAACATGAATGCGCTAATATGTTTAAAAGCGCATTAAAAATACGTTACACTGCGCACGTGTGATCTCAACAATCGATGAAAGTAGAATCAGGCTCAACAATCGGACCGAATTCTTGCCGGTCGTGACCAGCCGGCCGTATACAATAGTGGACCTCGAGGCCAATGGACCTCTTTAGCTGTTTTGTTTTCGCAATACAAGTCATGTGATAATACTTTAGTAGAGAACTGTTTCTTTCAAATTTCGATTTATTCACGTGCATATCTACGCATGGGGGGTACTCGATATATCCCTGGGTGGGGAGGTGCAGCGCGGCCCCTCATACCCTGACCCTGTTTAAGACAAATATCGCTGATTTAAAACAGAATTCCGATTTTTGATACCCTGTTTAAGACATTTATCCTGTTTAAGACAAAAATTGATAAATCGATACTCTGATTAAGACAAAAAATGATAAATTCGATACCCTGTTTAAGACAAAAATAAGAAACCAGTGGAAAACTCTCTCCTCGTTGATTTTGCTTATTGCCATTTTAATAGCTTTAATGGAAATCTTAATGGGTATCAGAGTCCAGGATGAATAATATGCATAGGACCATGTGGACCCAAAACCACCCAAGCGGACGACAAACTGGAGGCGCTGGTGCAATGGCGGATCCAGGGGAGGGGTCCGGGGGGCCCGGGGGGCCCGGGCCCCCTGTTATTTTTAGACCTAAATGAGGCCCGAAAGGCCGAAAAAAAATTTTTTTTGAGGCTGCCCCCCCCGCTTATCTCAGGGTCTTGATTACCGCCCCCCCACCCCCCCCTTATTTGAAAGTCTGGATCCGCCACTATAGTGCCCCGATTTACTGTGCTGAAAGTCGAATTAGATAAGGGTGTTATTTATTTATTTATTTATTGTTTTGTGTCTGTTTATAATACTTGGACTGCAAGCAGTGTCTAAGAAACGAGGGCGGCAGCCCGAACAAAATTCTTTTGCCGGTGCTCATTTTCTTGTCTTGTGCGTTTCGCTCGACGGAGTCTAATAAGAAAAAGAGAGACTGCTTGTAGTCTAGAAATACTGGGCGCTTTCCATTTACCAACAAATTTCGGAAATTCTGGTTTGGGTGCAAATGGAGCAGGGGTTTTCGAGCCTTTCCAGTGGAATGAAAAGATATCCGGAGCAACAGAACGTCTGAAATGGTAGTCCTGTTTTTCAGGACGGAATGTTTCAAACTTAAATATCATGTTCCAGTTGTTTAAACCCATCTTTGATACCAGTTACAGACTTGGTCTTTTTTTCGGTAAATGAACTGATTTATGCAGACAGTTATCGAGATTTCGGAATGAAATTTACCGGTCCGGTACCAAATTTTACCGATCATTTGCCTAAACCGTGATCTGACCGATTTACCATATGAATGGAAAGCGCCCATTGTCTCTTTCGAATTTCGTCTTATTCTCGTGCATAGATACTCATAAATTTATGACAAGACAAGGCAATAATCCCTTGAGAGACGGGGTGCCTTGAGAACATAACATGAAATCCCGGGGGTTACTTTGGGAATTTCAGGGTGGGGATGTGCCGCTGGGACCTTGGAACCCTTAACCTATACCAGAGCTAGTTCAGCTGAATCTTGCTACCCTATACTAGAGTAAACTCCCCAAATCCCCCCTATCCTAGAGTAGCTGTTTACCTAGTCTAGATATAATATTCAACCAACTGATCAGTTTCCTGAAAAATGATACCCTATTCTAGACCCAAACGCTCTGATTTATATGCCCTATCCTAGAGTAAACTGCTTGAAAACCATACCCTTCACAGCGGCATATACCTATATAGCCCATATATGGCAGTANGGAATGTTAAAAACTTAAATTTATGTTCCAGTTGTTTAAACCCATCTTTGATACCAGTTACAGACTTGGTCTTTTTTTCGGTAAATGAACTGATTTATGCAGACAGTTATCGAGATTTCGGAATGAAATTTACTGCTCCGGTACCGAATTTTACCGATCATTTGCCTAAACCGTGATCTGATCGGTTTACCATGTGAATGGAAAGCGCCCACTGTCTCTTTCGAATTTCTTCTTATTCTCGTACATGTATACTCATAAATTTATTACAAGACAAGGCAATAATCCCTTGAGAGACGGGGTGTCTTGAGAACATAACATGAAATCCCGGGGGGGGTACTTTGGGAATTTCTGGATGGGGATGTGCCGCTGGGACCTTGGAATCCTTAACCTATACCAGAGCTAGTTCAGCTGAATTTTGCTACCCTATACTAGACTAAACTCCCCAAATCCCCCTATCCTAGAGTAGCTGTTTCGCTAGTCTAGATAAAATCTTCAACCAGCCGATCAGTTTCCTGAAAAATGATACCCTATTCTAGACCCAAACGCTCTGGGGCCGGTTGCTCGAAGCCTGGTTAGCGCTAACCGATGGTTAAGAGGTATCAAAATGTATAGGTTTCCATGGTATTTAACGCTGGTTAGCACTAACTATGCTTCGAGCAACCCGGGCCTGATTTATATACCCTATCCTAGAGTAAACTGCTTGAAAACCATACCCTTCACAGCGGCATATACCTATATAGCCCATATATGGCAGTACCCCCCAACCCCCGGGCATTAAGAAAACAAAAGAAACAAGCTAACCAGGCTCATTAGCCTTTGGTATCAACAGTTTTGTTTTTGTAATGTTTTGTTTTTTGTTTTACAAGTGTAAGCAAACATAGGAAGGGCAATAAGCTAAAAAGGGAAAGTGTTGGTAATTGGAGTATAAACTTTAATAAAGTTTTCGAAGCCAACCCCCAGCTGTGCGGATAGGACTTGATATAACTCAAAAAATATCCATCAAACAATCACAAAACCGTTGGCAGAACAAATTAAGACGATCCGGTTCAAACAGTCACAACTCTCCCTCAACAAATTAAATACTAAGTAAACATGAATGCGCTAATATGTTTAAAAGCGCATTAAAAATACGTTACACTGCGCACGTGTGATCTCAACAATCGATGAAAGTAGAATCAGGCTCAACAATCGGACCGAATTCTTGCCGGTCGTGACCAGCCGGCCGTATACAATAGTGGACCTCGAGGCCAATGGACCTCTTTAGCTGTTTTGTTTTCGCAATACAAGTCATGTGATAATACTTTAGTAGAGAACTGTTTCTTTCAAATTTCGATTTATTCACGTGCATATCTACGCATGGGGGGTACTCGATATATCCCTGGGTGGGGAGGTGCAGCGCGGCCCCTCATACCCTGACCCTGTTTAAGACAAATATCGCTGATTTAAAACAGAATTCCGATTTTTGATACCCTGTTTAAGACATTTATCCTGTTTAAGACAAAAATTGATAAATCGATACTCTGATTAAGACAAAAAATGATAAATTCGATACCCTGTTTAAGACAAAAATCCCGAAAAACATACCCTGGCTGGCCGCACGTCCCCATTAAGCCCTTTTAAGAGAGTACCCCCCCCGGGGGGTCAAGTTTCCCTGGGACCTCTATTGGGAAAACAAAACATACAAGCTAAAGAGGTCTATTGTTTTTTATATGTGTCTGCGATGTGTTACGTTACGCCGATCGTATCTCAGAGAGTCGTACGTAAACAAATACATACATTGTATCACATCGATTAACCTGACGTCTACGATTAATGTTATATAATCGGAATATTATGTGTCAGCAGCATTCAGTTTGTAATCAGTATAATATTCTCTAAATGGATGCAAACTCTTGCTCAATATATTACTTGTAGTGTTAAAGATAATAAGAGTTTCCGCGGCATTTAAGATCCATTTTTAGTCCTATACCGGTTTTTAAGTGGCTTATATTAGCTTTCAGTTTAATTCGGATCGAAATAGTTGACAAAACTAATTTAGATCGCTAAGAAAAGCAAGGTGTTTTATTTACGGAAAAATTTCTACTTCAAATACCGAGGAACTAGAGAGTATCTTTTCGGCGTGGACCATGAAATATTTGAAGGGGGAAGCGACCGTGGAAGGGGGGATGCGCAAGCGACTAGGTGGGTGAAGGTGGTATTTTGGTTTGGTCACTACAGGCTGCTGATTGTTGTAAATAGTTTTTCCACCATTTGTAGCCGGATATTTAATTACGCCATTTCACCTTGGATGTTTTTTTGTTCTCTGTCGAGGCTTACAGGAAATTAGTCTTTAAACATGTACCCCATTATAAAATGTTTAATAGCCTATTACGTTCGAATAGTACTGATTCAAAGCAGAATATTTGACATCACGGCCAGCCAAGTTAAAAATAGATCACTCGAGACAGAAAGAAACTTAACATTTGTCATGCACTCATATCAATTTGTTGTTGGTCGGTATTGCATCATGTTTATAGGACCTTGAACGAATCACAAGAAGATCACATGAACAGCAAAAAAATTGATTAGCATTAACTTCCTCATTACTGTGACGCCGTGTCACTCGTTATGTAACACATCACCCCCTTCCGTTTTTAATCATTATTGAATGAATTTAAACGATTTAATTTGCTGATACAATAAGCCAACTGGTTGATGGGAACTGAGACACTGCCCCGGCCGCCATCACTGAATGATCCATGTTTAGTGAGTATTCTCTGTCATTTCTTTTACTTTCCTTCACGACATAGTCACCGAACAGCAGTTTCATTCTCCGGGGATAACACGCTCCACGGGCTCAGAACTATAAACATTTCCATCCCCTGACTATCACTTTGGTTTAAAGTTCATTTTTTCCGTCCATAATAATAGTACCTAGCCGATCAGGATTGAAGTCAGTGAAGTCCTCAATAACGAACCGAAGTGTTAAGAGAATGCCGACAAAAAAATCTTCATTTCAGTGATCATACTGTAGAGTTTTGTCCATAGATTCATGTAATGTTTCTCTCAATAATTAACTTAGAGTGTGAAGTCTTCCCACGCAGAGACAACCTCAACGAGAACGGAACTAAACAATTCGACAACAGAGACAAAACAGTGGTGGGATTTATCCACTGATTTTGATGCATTTTCTTCTGTCCTCCGCGAAAAAGGTTTAGAGATTCTATTGGAGAATTATAGGTTTGTTGAACTCTCTCAACAATTACGCAGCGAAAATAGTCTAATCAAGGGAGAATAATCGCTTTTGGTTTTAATTTAAAAACTCTGTAACAATTACAAAGACTCAGAGTCATCGGAAATTCTTCATTTCCGAGGACTTCGTGTTGTGAGAATTTCCTCGTTATGTGTTAATGTCACCAGGACCAATATTTACCATAATCACTCATATCGTAGTAAAATAGACTACTTATTAATAATTATTATCCTAGTATTATTTACAAATAATTCATATGACGCCAAAATCCCAATGCTAAATGGTGCTATGAAACTTTTCAGCTAATGTACACAGATTCCTATTTCTGAACAACCGACGTCACCAATGATTCTTTCGTTTTCTTAAGAGGATTTTTTTTGCGTTAGTGTTTTTCCTTTAACGTATTTTAAGCTTGTTACTGTGTTGTTATTATGGTTCTTTGGTGAAAAAAAAAAAAAAATATAATTACCTTTTCATTACAGGTTATACTGCTGGTCACACTATCATTCTCGTCTTTTTTATACTGTAACAGCTTGTGTCCATCCAAATTGAATACTCAGCAACGCACCTCTTTTCTAGTAACCGTTTGTCACGTGCAATTCAAGTGTAGAATGCCATCCGTCATTATATATCGATGTAACTATGAGAACAACCATATATTCCCGAGTACTAAACAGTGTTCATTTATAGACTGTGAGTTTCATAGCACTTGAGCGCCCCCCGGAAATACAGCTAGAGTTTTAACAACGTGCGCTCTGACAGGGCCTGAGTCAGGGGGAACCTCAAACAGGAGAACACTTAAAAGCTCTTACAAGTGTAACACGGGCACTTAAACATTCAGTAAATACTCAAATTCTGCTTTTAAAAAGTAAATATTCACGTTTTTTAAAGTTGGAAAAATAATAATCTCACGGTATCTCAGGCCCTTCTCGTTTCTTCTTTCTCTTGAGTCGGCCAATTAAACATTGTAACTGTCTCCGGTTGTTTGATTAGCCGTGCGCATGGGTTGCAATAGACTAGGTAACTACTTTTTACGCAGCCGGTTTTACACGGTTAAAAAAAGTAGTGGTTGACGCGCACGCACGTACCCCTCGTAACAATTTTCCGCCTCTTGTCTGGCACTATACCATGCGAGCAGAGGCCCTTCAAACAGAGTTGTTTGCACTGAAGAGTGAAAAAAGGAATGTACAGAGCATATGGCCGAATATTGATTTCGCGTAAGATACTGGCAGTTCTAATGTATTTTTCTCTTCAAGTGCAATTATATAATATTTGTCATGAGTTAATGTACCCATAAAAGCACAGCGTTTCACATAATAGCCACGAGCACTCATTCAGTTCTAGAGAAACACAGCTTTTATGCTTGGTTTCAATCTGTTACCAAGAAACCGATTTTTATTGAAAAGAATGCTCAGTCATTTACTAATTGTATTTTCCAGGCTAATTCTATTCTAGAAATTGCCAATTTTATTAATTCAAAATTTCAGTCCCTTTCGTTTCTCAGTTAAAACTTGTTTACTTCCGTTTACTCGGGCATAGCATTAAACTGTCAATGAAAAACGGTCCTTTAAGTTGGGTTGATAATGTGTTAAATATTCTCAATATTTCTTAAAATAATTGTCTTTTCTCGTTGTGATATTACGTTTTATCACTTTACAGTTGCTGTAAATAAACGTTGGCTATTTTTGGACCCAGCCACAGAGGGGTATTAAAGAAGATCAAGATAAAACTTGAACTTCCTTACTGAAATAGTTTAAGGTTTTCCTTTTGATGCTCCAATTGTTTTTTTCACTGACAGTTTGTAGTTATGAAACTGATGCAAACTGTAATCGTCTTACCCACGAAGCACGTGGGAGTTCTTAAGGATTCGTTTAAACGTGTCCGTGAGTTCCAGATCGAATTAGAATGTGAAAGTGTTGGTTTTTGAGGAGAGGGGAAAAACATAGTACCCAGAGAAAAACCTCTCGGAGTGAGGGAGAGAACCAAAAAAAATACTGCAGAAGCTCTGTAAGCTCACCTTTGTAGGGCTCACCAGCATTCTTACTCACTTTAAAATATAGTGTATCAACACTAACTCGCTTATTTTCTCGAAAAGTAAGAGGGAGCAACTGATGAGTTTATAACTTCTAAGTGTGAGCACTAGCACTGTCCCGGGGGGAGAACCCCTAGAAATTCTTGGTGGTGGTGTGCCGCCCGGTTCCCCAAATGGTCTTCACCTTTTTTTAGATCACATCACTAGTACCATTCAGTTCCATGCCCGTTTTAGGAAGTACGACTTTATCTCTTAGATCCATGCGTGTCTTCAGCCGGACCTGGCTTCTTAAAGTTGTACTCGGCTAACAAACGGTCAGCATACTGTCAAAGCAGTTTTTAATCATGATTATTTAAAAGTTGCTGTGACCCATTTGAAGCTGAAAAGGCAAACACGATCATATGCTTGCGTGGTTCAAATACCAATGAAGACCATTTCAGACGGGCAAAATCTACACCCCCGTTACAGCTAATATGGTGTCAAAATTCTATTCCCCTTTGGGGAGGCACATACCTTGTATATAGCTTATATAGGGGACTAGCCTACCCCCCGGAAGGCATTGCATAATCAAATCATCAGGAAAGTATACTCGACTGACTTAAAGTGAATGACATCGACAGGTGTCTACTGATCTGTTCACGTAACATAGTGTTAATATCTTGTATCACCTGCATCTTTCCTAGAGTTGATCACTGTTGAACTACTGCATCCGACACAGTAATCACCGGCTTTAAAGATGAAACACGGCTAGCTGAGTTTGACGGGATTCACTACCGATGATTTGTGAGTATCTATGTTTCCCGGTTTCTGTGCCATGTATCTAGTATTTAAAACTAATTTGACAGTGATTTATCTGCTGACGTTTTCTTTGAGCTTTATGTACCCTTAAACCGAAAATTCGCTCTTAAAAAAACAGCTGTTTAGTTGATGAGAATTACGATCATCTATGTTTTCTTGAGCATTTCAGTTACTGTCGCCATTTATTTATCTAAAGCTAATCACTGATACTAATCGGTTGATACTAGTGAAATAAATTATTTAAAAAAGAGATCAAGCATTGAGTGGGATGATCTTTCCATGATGTTAGGAAACAAGCTGACGATTCTGAAAAAGCCAAATAATTAATAAGAATTATGACCACCTGTGTTCAGTAAAATTTCCTGTTGTCCTCGCTATTTAATCCAAAACTAATCTCCCAGGCTAACGGTCGATAAAAATGAATAAGAGTTATACGCAAACAGGAGCCCATAAGTTGACGCAAATGTTTCGAACTTCAGCCTCAGCTTGGTGTAATATGTAGCGGTCGAAACATCAGGTTTAAAATTTCTTTACTGTCGATGGCGTAAGTTTACCATAAAAGTATCTGTTTTGGAAATTTTCCTATCGTGCCACAATTGAAGTTTTCAGTAGAAACTAAATCCTTTATCAATTTATTTAATGTTTAATGTGATAATAATATTTACAGACATTAACTGTAACATCTTCGACTTAGCGTGCCGATTATTTTCTATATCGCCATCCGTTAGCAGGAAACCAATCTTTGTCGAAAAAATGTTCAATTGTTCGGCTTTCAATCATAACATAATGTAAAAAAAAAACTTATAAAAAATTGCATGGCGGATTCTGCCCTAGAAATAAAAAATTTTGGAGAGTTAAAACTCATTTCCACAGCAACCACATGCTTACCTCCCTTAAAAGTTGCTACACTATTTTTAGGGTTTTGTCGAATGATAAAGGGCATATGTGATTAATTGAAACGTTTGAAAGAAACTTACTTAAACAATGTTTTCCCCTTTTGTTTTTGTTATAAAATATAAAGTAGAAGCTAGTAGAGGTATTTACACTATATTACCCTGTACTGCTATAAATAGATACCTCGTAGTCCTACACGTGCACCGAATGGCTATTGGTGTTACCAAATCGAGGCAAACCACTGAAGCTAGCAATCTGTCTTGTTAAGTGTGGACTTTGAACCTGTTTTCAGAGAGTTTTCAATGAATTGATAGAAAAACAATTGGGTCTAATTGACAATTATTCTTTTCTCTGCATGTAATTTGTTTCTATTGACTTGCGTAAATTATTCCGAGCGGTAGAAGCTTTCGAAAATTTTTTTCAATAATGACCCTCAGTTATACCGAATCGGCACTTCGTTTAACACAGATCGTTCTTTCCTGTCCTTGTCCCTTGCTGAAGAACGGAGTACGGTTCAGTGGTGGGGTTCGATTGCGGCCTTAAGTCCTGGCTTAGAGGAAAAATAAAGTAAGTTATAGCGCTGGTTTGCACGTGACGCCTCGGCGGCCATGTTGTTGATCTTCTCTCCGCTGGGAACTAATCACTATTTTCATACAAAAAAAGAAAGAATTACAAATAGATAAATAAAATGAATTAATAATTGTATTAATCATAGCCGGCCACGGCCACAGCCGCCTTGTCACGTTGTTGCAAAGCAAGTACCTTTGAAAACAAACCTTTGCCGGTGGCAATGTCTTCTAGATAATAGTAGTGATAATAGTAGAATAATATCCGACACACTACAATCTCAGAAACCTCCAGCTCATCTGTGTTTGTAACAGTCGTATTGTAATTTAGTGATCAAATATTGTAAATGCTATTAATACCATGCATTGTCTTTTCGTAGTTCGAAAATTAACAAACTTGCGTGCGACAGGTGTTTACAGTGACACATTGATTGTGCTTTTCCATGACTATTTTTTTCAAGTGAAAGAATAGGTCATTTTTATATGAAGGGAATGCGACTTTGCTATAGTTATATATTTTTTAAAACTTTGCCCGCTGTATTTCCGGTTTCTAATATTGTGATGCTAATTTTCAAGTCAAACGCGCGTTCCGCCACGTCTGTTTCAAGCCAAGAATCAACCAATTGTTTATGTTTGTATCAAAGCAACAACTTCACAAAGAGCCCATATGGTTTTCAAACAGTAAGATGCCAGTGTGTTGCTGTTGAATTTAGAAATGCGATTGATAACTGTCTTGCAACCAGCCATGCAAGGTAAAGGTTGATCGATGTGTTATAAGGCCGGTATATTGCGATCATAATCTATACACGCTACGAGACGCATCTTCTAACGAATCTGAATACCCTTGGGCGCCGAGTACTCCTTGTGCGTCCAAAGGGAACAATTTCGAGACAAAAGTGTTTTACAAGGAGTAACGTGACCAGTCTGGTAAGTTTTCCAAAGTTTTTGACTTCCTTTCTTTCCTGCCCTCCTAATGGCATTCTTAAATCTAATTAGAGTAGCTCTCAGTTAAAATTGACGGTAGATATTTAGAATATCTTATTCTTTTGGTGGCGAGGGGGGAAGTCCGCATTGAAAGACTTCATTCATTCATTCATTCATTCATTCAAGGTATTTCTTTCAACATTAAATGACTTTCATTAATGAAATCATGCCGATTGCCTTAATCGGATGGTTTCACCAGAGATTAAGTTTGATGGCGGACAAATATGAGCGGAACTGAAGCCTTTAGTACTTTGAATATGTTTACTATAATGCTGTTTCGGGCAAACTATTATGGAAAATAAGAGTTAGAGTAGCTTGCGCACTCTTGGTTTGCTTGATGGCGAGTCAAGAGAGGTACGTGGAGAAGGTAAGTCAGGGATGTTATGCAACCCTCTGCCAGGCCTTATGAGAGCGATCGAACTTCGATGACTTCGCGTGATAAGAAATTTTAAAAAAATGTATGATTGACGTAAGACAGTAACACATTAATAGGCACTTGCGCCGTTGTAGTGACGATGTTTTAAAAGTCTCTAAGAACTTTAAGCAGAGACTTTAACTAATGGTATTTAAAAATTTGCGACGACTTTTCAGAGACTTTCTTACGAACGCTTAGAGGACTGATGTGCTCACTGGGCAGTTATTGACTGCCTCCTTCATTCAGTCGTACAGAAGATCATTAAAGTTAAATTGTTATTGTTGTTCGCAAGTGTTTGAGGGTTAGACAAACGGAATCTGGCGATACACGAAGCTGGAAATCAACACCTGTGGCCAAATTTAATAGCCACATTTTCTACCTGAGGTGTTAATCAATATAAACAATCATGATAGACGAACGATTATATCATTGTGTCATCTTTAAGTCTCAAAGACCTCAAACTCCAAATTAAAAATTAACAAGAAAAAGGAACTCGTCTGTTAATAATCAGCTATAAATACAGTAAAACCCCGTTAATACGAACACTAAGGGGGCCATGGAAGGTGTACGTATTAAGCGGGTTGAATTTAGAGAAAATGTAAGGGCTTTCTATGCTCAGGGACATAGTAAACTGTCCATATTAATGAGGTGTTCCTATTAAGCTGGTGTCCGTAAACCGGAGTTTGACTGTATAAAAGACCTTCAAAACGTTAGACTTTTTTACTTACGAGAAAATAACGGTATAAACTTCTTATCTGGGCGGCCTTCTTTTAGGAAAGCCGCCGTAAAGGGGCAGGGTCAATCGTCCGCTTATTTAACTGTAGAGTATTGTTGGATTATACTACTCTTAATTTCTTAAACCGTTCGTTTATAGTGGTGGGCAAAATTGAAATTTCAGAGCCATTTCAAATTTCTTTTTGCATATTCGTTGGCACCATGTAAAAGTTCTTCGGAAGAGGTTTTTAAGAGTAATTTAAAACAATTTTTTCAATAGTATTCAATAATTCATAACTCTTTTCAGTCTTGTAAGTCGATGATTTTTACAGATTTTAATATTTAAATCTTAGATTTCTTAGTGTTATTTTATTTTATTTTCCTTTTCGATTTATTTTTTATTTTTTTAGCTATTTATGAGATAATTACAGGACCCTTTTGATAACAGTTCTTTTTATTAGAACTGATAGGTTACCCTGTATAAATATTCGCGTTATTATTATTATTATTATTATTATTATTGCGTTCAGCTGTTTGCTCTGTTAGTTACAGCTTTTATGATAGCAGTACCCACACCCTGGAACTCTCCGCGCCCAAAGAGCTTCGTACAACCGCAAATGTGAATAATTTTAAGATGCATCTGAAGACTTCTCATTTTAGATCTGTGTATCGGTGACAGATTTTTTTTACTTGCTTTTCATGCATATATTTTTCTTACTGTCTTTTAGCTGACTTTTGTAATGTTTGCGGTTGTAATGCGCAGCTGATCATTCTCATTCTCATGCACAATAAGTTTATAAATCATCAATATTAATATTACTTAATATTTATCTATTTAAATGGTAACAAAGCAGGTTTTACGCGGCGTGAATACAGCTATTTCGAGAAAGGTTGTCGGAAAAAGTGCACGCTACAATCCCGAAAGGTATTGTGGGTGGCTTTGAGGGCACTTTTCTTCAAAGAAATTTGAAAGAATAGTACGGGAGGCCTCGGACATATGTTTGCGAGTACTAAAGGAAAGCAACAAAAGTAGGTTAAATCGTTACCAACAATGTATTGATCATATCCCATCTTACCTTTCGGGATTGTCGCGCGCGCATTTCTTCCGACACCCTTTCTCGAAACAGCTGTATACTCTATCAACAGAGTAATTCAGCCTAGGGCGCCTAGAAGTTGACGGAAAAAGGAATGTTGCTATTTCAGAACGTTTGTTATTTCGCATTAATATTATTAACGTTTTTTTAACAGTCTAACTAACGGCTTCCTCAAACATACCCAGAAGAGAAAAATGAAAAGTTTCAATCACTAATAATGTTATTGGAAAAAATGAACTGTGACCAATATGCTTCTGGTGCTTTCCGCGAGTTGGCCATGGCACTAGGTATAAGGAACTGCCCTAGAAATTAACACACCATGCATATACGGGGAACTGAAAAGAAGCACAAATCAATTCTAAGATAGAGTAGCAGTTTTATTAGTATTTGCAAGACGCACTGGAAAATAGCAAAAAGCCATAGCCGTAGTACTGATACAGACGATTACTCACTGAGTTATGCATAAAAGAGCATCCTTGTCAACTGTTTTTTGCTATTTTTAGTTTCTAGTGGCCCATTTGATCACGCTGGCTTTGTTTTGTCTTTCTTATTTGTCCTATCGTTTTTTGAACTTTGCTGACCATAACGAAAGACATCTCTGCACCAACACGGGGTGCAAAAATTGAAAAGGTTTTATTTTCATCCGACAAATTGATTACAATAGAAGCCGCGTTTGGCAGGAGTAACATCTAGCAGGGTCTATGGTTTTTTCACTTATGATCGCTTATGAAGACTATTTAATTTATGGGAATCTAATTTAAACAAGAAGCTGCGCAAAGAAATGTCTCGAATCATCGATCTCATTACAACACTGAAATTGGCAACAGACCGGAGTAAAATCCACTAAGATTTATGATCCTGGCACTGTTTTATATGGTCTTGCTTGAATTTGTTTAACTCAAAAGAGATATCATTTTAGTTATGAAACTGCATATTGATTCTTTTCTTGCAAATGCTCCAAAAACAAACAGCGCCAGAAGCTCCTGGGCTCGTGGTGGTGGAAGGAGGGAGAGACGTTGAGCCTTACCGAACACAAGCCGAGACTAGGCTATACTGTAAAAATGAAGCTCAACTTAAGTGTGATGTCCAAAGTTGATAATGTTTTCTTCGTTCTTGTGATGAAACCCTTACTTCTTGGTATTTTTTAAAACCTTAATAACAAGGAATCGATCGATTTTTTTCCCTATGATTTATTTAGCCTAAGGGAATTTTAGTCTGGGTATGAAACTAATAACTCTGGAAGCGCTGTCTTCGATTAGTTTGACTTGTGTTGCTTGCTTAATTTTCATGGGAAGTATGAAGAATCAGCAATGCTCGGGTCGGAGAATGTGGTAATCGAGTTATTTCACCAAAACTCCTGGAGAGGTAGCTACAAGGGCTGGTACTGCGGAGTATACGGGAAACATAGCCGACTTTTGTTTTTTACGTCGCAAAAATGTAAATTCCTTGAAATCGTAGACTGTATGTTGCACATATTATTTGCATTTATTACACGGGGTATTGAAGAGCGCAGTGACCGAGACTAAATCTCTTAGTATTGTCCCTGATCGAGCTGTAACTTATCCTTACACTGATTAGATGAGTTCCTCTTTTACCTAGTAAACATCATAAACGTATTGCGTTTGCAGTTCTGTTGCTCAGTGCCTGTAAAGAGTAAACAATTTCCGCAAGGAGTGATCGAACAATTTCAAAAGAAGTGAATGCCCGAGGGCACACTGTTATTAAAAAAGACTTACGGTCAGCTGGAATGTGTTTAGCAGAGCGGTTGGTGTTGAAAATACCTAGATCTATCAGTCTGGGCAAGTACTGCACCATTTCGGTAGTTTACCCTTCTAGGGTTTGCATGATTCTTAGTTTTAAACAGTTGACTATACTACTGAATTTACTACTGCTATGCCTTTAGGTAGAATTCTTTTTTCACGTTACTAAAGTCCTTCTAACATTGGGCCAAATTTTGATTAATTTGGTTGTGCAAAATTTTTTTTTTGCAGTTTAATGTCGCTTTTTCAAAATACTCGGCTACCTTTTACGTAGAATCAAAACTCAACAACTCCCGCAAGGCATCTGAAAAAAAGAATTCCTAAAATTAAAGTAAACAGCTCATGCGGAATAAGAACACTGGCAGATTTAATCGGAATGGTTACGCATTTTTCAATGGAACGAGATTCATCAAATGCTTTTCATATCTGACTTTAATAGTGTGTGAAAAGGTAAAACTGGAATTCTATCACTAAATATACAGTCTAAACAGCATGGAGTCTTTGATAGCTACTTGAAATATTATTTAAAAATCAGTAAGTGGTGGCTCTTATCATGTAGTTGTTACATACAAGACATTTTATCACCACTATTATCATCATCATTATTATTACTAATACTGTTATATCATAACATCTTATAACGCAAAAAAAAGCAGCACAGAAACTAAGCTTAATGGCGTTTTTATCAAAATGGCAAAAAAACTCAGGAAGTGCTTTATAAATTCAAATTATAGGTCGAATTACACTGAATCCTTGAAAAGTTGCTGTGTTATTGTACCCCCCACACCCTAAAAATTTCAAGTTTCCAAGCATTCATTCATTCAAATAATCCGGCAACCAAAATAAGGACAGGGTATATAGTGCAGTACTTGTTCATATTACATGTCGCGGTTCAATTTTATCTCTGCCTTGGTTTAAATTGCCTTTTATGTGTTTTAAACTTACTATTATAGATTTAGCGCGTTTGTAGAAACTGGGTCCAAGAGAGCAAGCGCGCCAACAAAAAATATTGCTTTCTTAAAACAGAAGACTACTAAACAGGGTCACGGTTTCGCCAGACTGACCAGGGCATTCACATGCTACGAAGGCTGTAAAAGTATTAAGAAGCAAACGACGTAATTTTTGCTAAAAAAAATTTGCTTAACACTAAGGCGAGAAATCGGTTCGTATATGTTGACTTATTATTTGCTTTCAGTTCAGTGGCAATTTTCAGGGGCACCCAACGTAAATTTTCGGAAAATATCTGTTCTGAAGACGATTTGAGATCTAGAATTTTCGGAACATTTGTAGTAAAATTTCTTGCTTGCCTGCCTCTCCTAGGATTTTCGAACATCTAAAAAATAGTATAATTGCCCATTTTTAACGGATTTTTACCCTTAAAAGGTCGCCTAGAATTTTCGGGAGCCTTTCTTCTGGCTGAAATTTTCGAAAAGGTAAGTTTTGATCCCTATAACTTTCGGACCTCTAAAATTTCAGCTGGGAAATCCGAACAGATGAAAAATTATTAGGGGATAAAAATATGTCTATATCTACTGTTTAAATACTTTAATATGGTTAGCAATGCTATGTTTAAGTGGTTTTGAACTATATTCTCGTTGGGTGCCCCTGAATTTTCTTTGATGAGAGCACCGTGAACGTTTTAAATTTGTTTTAAGATAAACTTCGTTGGCATTTTAAAAAACCAGTTGAAACCATTCGAATTCTTTCTACTTCTTCCTTTTTATTTTTGATAAGAAGAGTTTAACGGCCTTGTACATTGTTATTTAGAGTCTTGATCGTGCGGTATCAAGTCACGAAAAGTGCATCATGTCTCCTAGCCAGGGGCACCCAACGAGAATATAGTTCAAAACCACTTAAACATAGCATTGTTAAACGAATTTTATTATTTAAACGGTAGATATAGGCATATTTTTATCCCCTATTAAATTTTTCATCTGTTCGGATTTCCTAGCTGAAAGTCTAGTGATCGGAAAATTATAGGGATCAAAACTTACCTTTTCGAAAATTTCAGCCAGAAAAAAGGCTTCCGAAAATTCTAGGTGACCTTTTTAGGGAAAAAAATCAGTTAAAAATAGGCAAATATACCATTTTTTGGATGTTCGAAAATCCTAGGAGAGGCAGGCAAGCAAGAAATTTTACAACAAATGTTCCGAAAATTCTAGATCTCAAATCGTCTTCCGAACAGATATTCTTCCGAAAATTGTCGTTGGGTGCCCCTGCCTAGCCCTGCATGATTCTTGAAAACACCATCGACCACCGGGAAAAAAATAAGAGAATTTTTGAACAACAAACACCTCTTTCCGTCTTGACAAACCCTAGTCCGTGTTATATAGTGAATAATTTCATTGCACTTTTTTGTAGTAACAAAATTAGCATGATGTGTACCCATTTGTGGCTGACTGTTTACATCACGTCTTCTGTTGAAAGTTAAAGACAATATTTGTGTCGCAGAAGTCACTGTAATTCAATAGATTTTTTTCTGGTCTGTCTCCTCATATCTAAATTGGCCGTTCTGAATTCATTAATACAGTGCCTCCGCCGCGAGTTATTGAAGCAAGGAGTTACAAATGTCGTTGCGCCATTTTTAATTAAGGGTGGCTAAAATTTGTTAATATCACCGTCAGATGATTTGTATATCTACTTAGCGAATGCTTCAGTTATAATTTTCCCGTGATAATTTTCAACAACCTTTACAACCTTCACCGCGGTAGTGGAAGATTGTTTACACTGAGACAAGAAGACTGTTCAGTATTGAAGGTTAGATGTTATCTTTTATTCGAGTTAATTCATTCAACCGCAAAAAATCTTAGATCTCATCGTCGGAAAAAAAAAAGAAAACCGATTTGTTCTTTTTTAAAGTACTGCCCAAGAGCTTTCATCTGAATGGACACGCGCCTTAGGATATTGTCCACAGTCGCCAAAGTTAGAAGACAATTGCATGTTTTCTTTATCGAGATTACCAGTTATCAAAACAGCTAATGTTTTATTGGCACTTTGAAAATGTACTTGTTAACGACTATAACCAGCTCACTAAATGCACTTTCGGGGTACTTAAATTGTACTTCTAAGCATGAGATTAGAGATGAGACTTAATTGGACACGAAAGTACCTCACGCAAGCTTTATCGATGCCTCATGATTGTTGATGTTTTTTTCCTCAGCCCACTGCCTCGTTAACAGCTGAGCAAATTATGAGTGGGTCAAGGCTAGCATTTTGGTTAAAGAAAGACACAAAAGTAAAAGAACACGCGGAAAAAATAGAGATGTAAAGAAAAAGAGAAAACAAACAAGACAGAAAATAAAAGGCAAAACCTGAAAGAGAAGAAAGATTAAAGCAAGAGAGCATACGTTTTTTTTTCTGGAAAAAGGTCGGCTCAAAGTTCTAAATTTTCCATCTAGAAAAATCATGCTACACCACAGAATAATTTATCACGCAAAACGAAAATAAATCAATACAGTATTTATTTAGAGACATTACAAAACAAAGAGAAAAATTCAGATTTAATAAAATATGTATTTAAATTTTATACTCTTGCCGCCATTTCCGAATTTCGTTTAGTGTCGTTTTTGTAAACTTCGGAAATACTCTGGAGACATGGCTTGCAGACTATGTATAATGTGTTAGTGAAACCATTTGTAACTACGTTGGCCTCATTTCTTGTTAAGTGTTTTACAAAATCCCTTTAAGCAGTATTGGCTTCAATCAAGATGTAAAATAATGTAATCAGCTAAAAATGGTTCGTTTTTCTTGGTAATAGTTTATTATTAAATAATCTTTATTTGATCCATTTATAAAGGCCTTTCCCTCCAAAGAGGACCCAAAATCAGTCAACGCTGAAAAGGCATACAGAAAACGAATCAAAAACAAAAAAGTAAACAAACATAATAAGAAACCAACGAAACAATTAGTTTTCGTTCGTTTAAAATGCCTCATGCCTACCTAAACAAAATTACGTTTGAATGGCACTACTGATAATTCGCCGTGCGGCCAACTCTCTCTTTGCCAACTGGCGCTCAAGGTTTTCATTGTACACGGTGCTGAGAACTGTACCAAAAAATGCAGCAAACTCATCACATCTTTGGTTACTTTCTGCGGCATTATTAATTAGAAAGAAGCGAATAAGATACTATAAGATAAACAGCTGGGAATATTTCATTATAATTAAAATCATGCTTTTTCAAACATTAGACAGCTGCAAGCCAACGGCGTCAGCTTAATTTTTTTTAACAATTATCATGCGAAAAAAGCTCTAATTGAGCTTTAATGAGTGTTTGCACATGACGTTCCTAATTCATTAAAATTTTGCTCAAGGAAACTGAAAACGTTTTAGTTTATCTTTAAGTCCACAAACATGTAAATGACAACGACAACCTGTAAAGTTTTTACGTTAACCCAATAAGAAATTAGAGAATTGGCAATTATTTAGGCGTAATAATGATGGAATATTGTAGATATACACCTGTTGTGTGTGCTATAATTTCGTTATTTATAGCTTACTGGAATATTGCAAGAAGTGCGGACACTTTTCGTTATTTTTTTTTAGTGTGTCTTTGGGCATTTATGTGTCCCAGCAGTGACCGTTCGTGCTTCGCGTTAACGTAAGGGTGCTTTTCAAAAGTCAGAACTGGCTGGTCAGACCGGTCATTTTGAAAATGAAGTTTAAGTCTTTTCTCGAAATTTTCACTTACACCCCTCACAGCCATGCATACCATTTAAGAATAAACTGATGTGGCTGGATAATCCTGATTAATAGTGGAATTCTCTTTCCGATTGGACTGCTGTGGCCTGCAAATTTTAACCAGGCATAATTTCAACAGACTAAATTACTGCTAAGAAAAGGATCTCTCAAAAGAAATTGAAAGAGTAAGTACATATTTTGAATTTCAGCTCCACCTCTGACTGCAAATAATTTTGACGCTGGATTGCTAACTACTGCGTGTCGTCGTTGACCAGTAACTGCTTCGATGTGATTGAAGAACGATTTTAATAGTGTTAGAAATAAATCTTGATTTCTGCAAAAGATAATTACGAACACGATCATAATACGGCGGTCATTATTAACTTGTCAAAAAACTATTCAATGTACATAATGTCGTCATTGCCAATTTCTAAAGGCATCAGGCGGTTCCACCAATAAGATCGGAAAAACACTTTGTTCTGAGAAATACGACAGCTGCATTTCAGTTAATTAGAAAGATAGCATTTGATCAGCTGTGAATTTAGCTCAAGCTCAAGTAAACAGTTCGCGCGAAAAATTTTAAGTTTGTGCCAATATTTACGTTGATTATTTTGGAAGAGCATTTTGTACAGGCTACGTTAGGCTTAATCTGTTACTCGGTATTAAAAGCTGCTGATGGCTCAGCTAGGAGACCACTTCAGAAAAATGGCTACAGCACAACAAATGGTATCGGGGAACGCATCCCATTGGATACACGGTAAATTATGTTCACTTAGTTATGTTCCACTTGCTTTTCCAAGAAGTTTCGTCTTGTTTTGTCGAAAATATTGAGTGCCGTTTTGCCAGCAGTTAATGGTCGACTTTTACTTTGTACTATATAAGTCCAAAGGGGGGTTTCCAAGAGTTTGCATTACAGAGCCGGTTGTCGATAGTCGTGGAAAGTTTGGCTTCTTCTCAAAAATGTTACTGTCTTTGGAAACATAAGTTGTTAAGAAGAATTTCATACTCAGTTCAAGGTAGCCTGTTAACCGAAATATTTAGCGTTATTACAGTCGAATTCAAGCGGTGTACTGAGCAGTGAATAAGTTTAAGCAAAAGAGAAATTTACTACACGCTGTTATTAAAACGCCAGACCTCTTTTCTAGCAGTATAAGCATAGCAGGGAGTGGTTTATAAGAAAGGATTTTCTGTCTCGCGCGATATCGGAGTTACGTAATTTACGCCAATGGTTCTTTGTACTCTGGTTCTAGAGCGCTCCAGTTCAAACCATATAAAAGAAAGTACTTTGAAGCCGTAAAGCCAATGTAAATTCATTTTTCTCAGTTAGCTAAAGGCGAACTCAAAACAACTTCAAGTTGGTTTCTTTAACCTTAAGGCTCAAATTTGTTTCCAGTCTATATAAATTTTAATCCGCCTGGCTTAGTTATATTTTCTCAGTCTACTGGGTTGTTGCTTGTGCTTGTACACGGAATTTAACGATGTTTACGGAAAATAAAATAAACTGAACCTTGTTAAGGACAACCGAGATCCAAGAATAATTTTTATTTATACCCTAGTATAGTTTTTTGTCGCACCTTAGTGTATTATTTTTTCGCTGCTCTTTCCTGTTTGTAGGTCTTACTTTAAAATATATAACTGTAAGCTTCAGTTTACATGTGCATTGAAATTCACGCTACTTACTATTTTCGGTATGTGTTTTTTTTTGCGATCTATTCCGTATTGAAGTAAGATATATACTTCATGGAAAGAAGTGTGCGCATGGGTACGCTATTTACGCGCGAGTTGTTGACCTATCCGAAATCGAACGAGTGATCGCAGGGAACGAGTAAGATTTCGGATACAAAAAGAACGCACCGACCGTGCCGAAAGCACTTTGCATGTGGTTTTGTCTGTCACCTTTTTATCGTAATTATTTCCAAGGTGCAAGAAATGCTAAAAACAACTGCCGCCAAACGTCGTGAAACGAAATAAAAGAAAACGACGTCGCCTTTCAGATCAAAAACTATAGTAGACATTATAACGAGGGTAAGGACGATAGGAGGTTCAAGGAATTATAAGTAGTCCTAACATAATAAAAAAACCATTGCCTGCGGAAAATGAATGAATTTGGGTAAAATGGCTGGTTTGACTTAATAGCTATATAAACAGAGGCCAGCTACAAGTAAAGCTGACTTTCCGCCCTTCTACTGTTGTTTTGCAAGCTCTGTACAATGATTCTCTTCAGTGGCAATGAAATTTACAAGTCATTCTATTTACAATTTCCGGACTAATTGTCTAATCTTTATATTCGCGTGTTCATGCAAATGCAAGCCTTATTCCATATTGAAAAATGAAAGAAACTGTATTTTTATATAGCTTATTGACTTTCATATTCTTCTACAGGTGGTAGCCAAGTGACTCCAAGAATGCATCACTTTCACACCTACCCAGCTACAATGGGACAGATGACGTGCCACCCATTGCCATTCAATAATAACCAATCAGCGTTCACAAAACCTCAGACTTACGCACCTGCGTCATGCTTGCCCTCCTTCTGTCCCGAAAGAAGAGTCCCGGATGATTTCCGTCATACGTATTTTCCTGGTACATCGGTAAGAGACTACAATTGGCCTGTTAGACAAACGTTCTGTGCGCCACTGGAAACAGGCAACGCTGTCCGTTATCAACAAGAAAACCATTACCACCATCCCGCTTGTCACATGAGCTATTACAACTGTTGTACCCGCGTCTGGCGCTCTGTGGATCATTATTACTCTTCACGAAAGAGGCCCCGAATGGTTGAAGATAATTTGCCGAAAAGTACAGAGGGTTCGACTGACATCTCTGGAAAAAAAGAAACAGCTGCACACAAACCCCTTCCCTCCCCTCCCCCTCTTATAAGAACATGCATCAAACAGAAAGAGTCAAAACAACTGCATTTGAAAAAGCTTGTTGAAAGGAAAACATACGAAAAGGATGTGTTAACCGAAGAACATGTATCCAAAAACAGAGAGCCTACTTCTAAGATACAAGTTCCTGTAGTCGACTGTTCCATGGCACATCGCGAAATATCCAACGGCGGTTACAGGAGTGAGTTTATGAAAAAGTTTTCAAATGAAAGAAACGCGGATATTGAGCAACGCAATCAAAATTTTACCGGGCCAGATGAATTTGAAACTGAACCAAGAAATAGCAGCCTAAATGCTAAATGGACATCAGTGAACGACACACAAAAAAGCTGTAAGTCAACGCGAGGGGTCGAGAAGAAGCTTTGTAGTAACAGACAAGTGGAAAAACAAGTAGAGCAACAATTACCGCTACAACATACCGTTGAACGCTTTCGCTTGGCCACAGGAGAAAATGCACAGCGGTTGGGTCAGACAACAGCGCTTAGGAAAGAGAAACAACGCAGTGTTATCGTACAGAATGATAACTACAAAGTTAATAAACGTAGACATTCACATTATGAGAGTATGCCCCAGGAAGGCCAAATTATGCCACAAGAAGGACTAAAGAGGAGACGATCCTTTCCTATAACTGAGCGACGAGATACATGTTGCGACAACGGTGATGATTTCTACGAAACAAAACCGAAAGATCATAATGCGGAGTATGGAGTGCCTTTGTTTAAGGATTGTTGTGAAACGAAAACAATGGTTCCTAAGCGTTTAATTCAGAATGGCCAGCAAAGGCATTTGTCAAATGGTACAGTTCACCCGCAACTGAAGTTCTATCCGCAACCTAATACAAATCTCGAAAGGCACAGATCAAAGTCATTCGATGCTCCAAAAATTCAGACTTCCACGTCACAGTCTTTGTGTCAAAACCTCCAACCGGAAAATTTTTCTTACAGAACAAAAAAGCAAAGCGAAGTGCTTTGCGAGCCAGTTTTGAGGGACAAATCAGTGGAGCATGGTCATGTTGACTTATGCAGCCCTACGATTAGTGGGCGATATGGACACGAACACGAAGCAAAGGTGAACTTTGTCTCATCAAACGAAAAAGGGCCAGGGCCAAAATCAGGACATTGGGAAACCGTATCTTACAAGAATTCAAGTGCAAGCTTAAACGGGTTAGCCTCAACTCGCAAGGAAATTCGTCAACAAACTTTGATAGATCAGTCACAAGCAACCATGAAAATTGAGAGGATGCCTCAACAACAGCCAAATATCAGCAAGAGGGGATGCAATAGTGACAGTAGCATGCTGCATTTTCAGGAAAACCAGCCGTTGTCATGTGATAATACAGGATACATACCCAAGTATTTAGATGCAAATCAGACAGGTGTATTGACGCATTGTGACGTGTCACGTGACCAGGACAAAAAGTCGCCGCATGTGACTAACAACCAGGTTACCGTTGGTGGAAAGGTTCGTCAGTTTGGAAATGTAACGAGTTCAGTGTCACCCAATGGTCCTCAAATCATAGGGCCCATTAGTTTGAGTGAACTGCAGAAGCGGAGGACTGCATTATCGCAGAGTCATGTCAGTTTTAACAACACCAGACCAAACATGAGCCGCATTTTAAATAATAGAACAGCGGTTAACGATCAAAAATCACATGATCAAGAAGCCATGGAAGAACCAAAACTGCACAGGAAAGACATTAGCTCAGCTAGTCTTCAACAAACTGCCCTCAACTTTCCCGAAATTGAGCATCAAGATCATGAAGTGAAAATATCAGTTGTCTCAACTGATTATTCAAACAGTGTTAATAGCCAAAGTTTGAAAGATGAGCCAGCCGAGCAGCCAACGTCTCAATCACGGACCCTTCCACCCCTCCCTTCTGGTAAAGACTTGGACAAAATCGACTCAGGGTGTGGTGGCTATGCCATTGATCACAGTGCTATGCCCAGAATTGTGGCCGTGCATTCCATTGTAACAAACGACGAAAGCTTGAAAGAACAAGAAAGCGACTTGTTTTCCTTGAACGATAAAAAATACTGGAAGGATCTCCTGCGCAAGCTGACCTCTGATGTAGGTGACAGTGACGAGTCTAAAACCTTTAAGATTACTCAAGCAAACAGCCCTGAAATGAATAAAGTTGACGATCCAAAAGACATTGAGTATCAGCAGGACAATGATTCTACTATGGAACAGGAAAACGAAAGCAAACCGGATGAGTTAAACAAGGTTAATAAATGGACTCTTTGGAAATATCTCTCTACGCCATCGAAAGACCTAACAATAGAGATAAAATGCCCATCAACAGACTGCGACGAAATTTGTGATGCAAAGAAGAAAACCCAGCCAGTTCGTAGAAAACTAACAGTGAGAGAACTGAGCGATAAAATTTTGTATACTCGAGAGAGAATAAAGAAAGAGGAAATTCCCTGGAAAAAGAAACTTCTTGTCAGTCTGGAAGCCACATTTATCAAACGACTAAGAAAAACAGAAAAGGAAACAGGAGAAAAAGCTGACAATTTTGTCCTGAAGCAAAACGAGGATGACGATGACTGCAAAGAAACTGGGGAAAGAAAGAAGTGTAACAAACAAGGGAAAAAGAAGAAAACTGTAGCTAAAAGCTAATTAAAAATTAAACACTAGTTTCAGTTGATTTTGGCCTACTCGAGGAAGACTCTTCATGAACAGAGTAAGATCTTTGTTGAGCATTTGCTTCATATTACTTGAACACAGTTTCGCGAGGCGTAATAGCCAAGCGTCTGGTACAGGGGGCTAAATTACAAACACCGGTTTGTAAACAAGTCAGATTGACTGACCAGCCGAGAAGTTCGGGCTGCGGCTGGTTCAAAGGCTCGATGCCCTTCAGGTAGAGCGTCTTTTTCTCCCTTTCGATCAAGATAACGACAAAAGGAGCCTCTGGTCCTGCACGGGGTGGCAAATAAAGTACTTAATTAATTCTGAAGAAGGTTTTGTGCAACGTCGTCTAAGAGCATTTCTCGCCTCTATTTTGAATGTCGAGTCGCTCGGTATCAATTTTCCTGCTTCCTGAGATTGTATGAAAGGTTAAGAGAAGAAATTATTCCTTTTGAGAAATATCCTTTTACTTTTTTTCAAAATTAGTTAAACTTATTATAAGAGTAGCACTGTTAAAAGAAATGCGAGTGATAAGGATCACATTTACCATGTTAGGTTTTTAATTGACGTAAATTTTAACTACAGTTTATCGCAAGCAACTCGATTTTATATCCGTGAATACCCATTTTTATCGTCTTTGTACGCTAAGTACCGGAAATAGTTGTTGTTGTTGTGTTATTAATATTGTGAGTGACAGCTGTAAGATAACTCGCCAGTGGCTGTTGATAACTTATCATAATAAAAACTCAGTAGACTGAAAATAGTCCCTACTTGCCCCCCTGAATATAGATGGGTGGTCATACGAGGGATCTTGGACTATATACACCGATGCTAAATATAGGGAATACTAGATATTTACCCTGCAGGGTGCTATAGGTTTTTTCCTTTTCTAATTACTGGGCTGCCTGTGGGACACGCCCAGTCATAATTTCGGTTTTCGGTCGTCTGTGCAGAAAGACGAACACCGGCGGGGGAGGTGGGGGGAGATAGGAGGTCTGGGACCGAGAAACGATGTTCTCGCAACTTGTTTCAGACGACTTTTCTTTGCACGAAATATTTTTGGTAACAACAACATGCGAGCGAGAAATCTTGAAACTCTTGTAAGGCGCAAAATACAAAGGATTTACTTCCTTTAAGTTAAAGAAAAATAACAAGAGAAAAATCTTAAAAACTGAATATTTTTATCTTGTGGAAAAATAATAATGCTTTTTCATGTAGACTGTAGACAGCAAATTGGGATCGTCTATTTAAAGTCTCAGTGAAATCAATGAGGCTCGCGGATCACGGGGATCAATGGGAAGGTGGCTGTCTGTTTAAGTCACGGTAAACTTTTCGTTTTCATACATACTGACTGTGTACTCTATTTCAGATCAATATCTATCAGGCAAATGTGAGCAAGTACCCACCGGAATTTTTGCATATTTGCTTGTTCAGTAAACGGCCTCTATTTATTATTTATCGAGCAATCCGGGGGCGTATTCCTGGAAATTGTTAGTGGGGTGTGCTGTTCGGTTTGCCAAATCTTTACTCTAGATTTTAAATCAGATCAATACCTATAAGGGAAACGTGAGGGAGTATTCCCCCGGCGAATTTCGTTGTCATGACGATAAACACGATTAATTATTTACTTGATCACTTTTTTAAAAAAGAATGTTAAGCAAAGGCAGCCATTAAATGAAGATGTGTTTGAAGCTGGCCTACTGTGCTTTTTCATCGTGTCCTTCGAAAGATGCTGCGATGAGTACATTTTGTGGTTTTTCTTCCCTTTTTGTTCAAGTTTAAACCTTTTGATGAGTTTTTTCCCTTCCGAAACGTAATGACAAATCTCTAGTCTCTCTCTCTCTCTCTGTACAGCATGAGGTAGCTCTCCCCAGTCCCCCTCTACTTTTCATCGCTTTCTTTACTCTGCACCGCTCTCCACTATCTGAACGCTTGGAACAGGCTAGAGGTAGAGTGTGTGTGTACATCAATAGAATAAAGATGTCTCTCAAGCTATCACTGCACTTTTTCCAGTGCCTTTTTCAAAAAATGGTAGGATTGGGGGCTTTCGAGGTTTTTCTTTGCTTTTTGTTGAAGTTTAAACCGTTTAAAATGTGACGGCCAATGTCTCTTTTTATGTTATTGCGAGTCTTGCTCTGCGTGTGAAAAGTCATTCCTTACAGGAAAGGAATGTCTCGGGCCTGGAATGTGCTCATTGTAGAAAATAAATATATATTTTTTCACTTGGACAGTTAGAAAGGCTTTAAACGCAATATCAGTTGAAAACAATGCTTAAAATGAATTTGCTTTGTAAGTTTTAAGAACCAGAATATTGAGAAATGTACTACTTCTGCTGCTGCTTGTTGACAGCATTCCGCAGGCTAATGACCCGAAGAATGACAATAATTTCCGGTTAGGTCAAGAGGGGTGCGTGAAAATAACGCTTATTGTTTCCTGCTTAGAATGGCTAATATATGGTAATATTTTTCTTGTTACGAAAGTCTTCCAAAGAGGGTACAATGTTCAAATGAGTTTATGTGTTTCTCTCACGTGATATGGTATGTCACGCAATGGTCAGCGACAATGTTGTGGTCTCAGTGTATACAGACCTCCTCTCCCAGGAAAAATCGCCTTTCGGCGATTCTTGTTCCTGATAGTTCGTGGCGAAGCTGCGCGACAGCGAGTCGCGAAGCGCCGAGAGAAAAACGAAGTCTCGAGAGCTTCAAACCGTGAGCACGGTTTTAGTTGGGTATTTGAAGAACGGACCTCTGGAGCCAGGGTCCCTGATATGGGGAAAAGGTCACGGAAGGGCGCTTACAAAGCTATAACACCCTTGTACCTCAAAGTCTTCAATCACTGGAAAAAAAAAAACTTATGACCCGAAAACGAAAAGTGTGACAGCTCGGACAGTTAGTCGATTTGATTTAACGGCAACATTAGAGGCGGAGACTCGTTACTGCAAAAAAGAAGTATCAAAAATTAATCTGATAATGTTGATTCATTTTTTGGTTTGTCAGTCCTTCGCATATAACTATCAGAACTATTTGCTGAGTCTTTGGGTTTAATAGAAACCTTATTTTTGTCATAATCAACGTTGATAGTGGAGCAACAGGCAGTTTTTGCCGTGCAGCATTGGCTAACAATCACCCTGTTTTTAAGTCACATGTCATCCTAACCCCTCTCACGAGGTTTCTAATGTCATTTGTCAACAGTCCACCCCCCCGGGGACGTAATTTCCCGTTGTTGACGGAACGGGACAACAACGTCTGAGTCGCCTCAAATTTCATTCAATTCGAAGCGCAACGCTGCAGAGCGAAGTGAATTCGTGAATGAATGGAGGAGATCAAACAAAAAGATTCAGAGAAAAAGAAAAGAGGTCGGCCCTCATATCGGACGTTACCCTTTTTGTGCCGGGTCTGTGAAGGAAATGTTTTCCCGGAAAACAAAGCCTACTACAGCACCTACTACAGTCTTGTTTCAGCAAATGCGAAGAAGCTCAATATCTTTGCGAGAATCAAAGGTCTTTTCGGTGTCTTGGAAGAACATGAAACAGATGGATCGTACATCGTCTGTAAAATGTGCTTCAGAAAAATGGAACGTTATGAAGCAACTTTTAAAGAATTGACCTCCATAAGAGACATTTATCAAAGTAATGTGGCCCGATGGAAAAACCAAAGGCTTATTCGAAACGAAGCTCGAAGTCAACGGACCAAACCATGCACGAGTGATCATGAGTTGCCGGGCGTTAGTATTGACGAAGGAAGATCCCGTTTTTCACCTTGTACTGATGGAGAAAAAACTTCACTGGACTCCTCAATAAAGCCAAATAACGAAACATCGCTCGATGAAACTTCTGCTACGGGTAACAGAGCAAAAAATCCGTTGCAAAGCCAAATGACGAATGGGAGAGGGTCATGTTTTCAAACTGCGGAGGCCAACGCAACGTTGCATAGGAAGAAGAGAGGGAGACCGCAGACAAATTCATCACCGTTGTGTCGAGTGTGTGCATCAAAAGTACTATCGATTCGAGGTTATTACTGCGGTTACTACAATCTTTTTTCGGCAAAATCGATGGAACAAAATCTCTTTTCAAGAATCACAGGGCTTTTCGGTGATGGAGACGATGATAAATCCCTAGGACCTCACTTTGTGTGCAAGAAATGCCTTAGGAAAGTTGAGCGATATGAAGCTTGTTTTAAAGAACTGATTTCATTAAGAGAGGCTTACCAAAAAAATTTGGCCCGCTGGAGAAATAGGGTTCAAAGCTCTCAAAAATCGCCGCCAAGTCCAGTTTCTTCGCCAGGCGAAAGTGACAGCCCCACATCAACTGTCAAACTATCAGTCAGTGAAAGGTCAACTGTTTCTACTGAACAAGCGGCTTATTTCCTTGAAAATGAAAACATGAAGCAGTCAATCGATTCTGCAAAAGCACAGGTAAGAGGATATGTTTATTTTTCCTTCTTTGTTGTTTTGTTTTATTAAATTCCACTGTACTCACTAATGTCCTTCACTCCTAAGTTATATTTTCGATTCTATTTTGCCCCCAACCAAGGTCAAAATTGTGGCAAAGTGATCTTTGGAGAAAACTACCAGTCCTCTATTACACACAATTTTAACACAAACGTAATCAACGGACTGCGATTTGCTTAAAGAAACGGCCTAATTTTGGAAAACAAGGTATAGATTCTTATTTCGTGATGTGGCCAATCGATTGTCGCCTATGTCATAAACATTGCGTGACAGGGCACATAGAGCTCGGATTTCCTACAGTATTTCATCAAGTACTGTTTGTTTTGTAGATTTTTATATACCGTAAATCCTCTATTAGGCCTTCCCTCTCAAATAAGCTTCCTTTTTAAAGGAACAAAGCTGTGAAGCTCCTCTCCCCTCCCTCTTAGTTTTTACAAACAAACTAATAAAGCCTGGTTTTCATATGTCGCGAAAATCCCAGACGATCGGAGATTTTACTTTTTGCCGACCATCCTAGATTTTACCGATAATCGCCAGGGCCCAGTTGTTCAACCGATTAGCGCTTAACCTGGGGTTAAATTTAACCCCGGTTTCCTTTTTCTTACGTTCAAAAGTATTTTCTCGGACAATTTTCTCTGTTATTTTTAGAGCTTCCAATCATCAACTTGTAGACAAAAAGAATCAAAACTGAACTGCTTTTTAAGCTTTCAAGTCTGAATTCAAATCTCGCACTAACCCTGGGTTATCTTAACCCAGCTTTGAACCGGCGCGCTTTGAACAACTCGGCCCAGAAGTCTGTCCCAGATTCTCGAGATTCTCTCATGTTTATTTGGGGGACTGGGGCCTAGCAATTTAGGGGATTGGTAATGTGTGAAATCCATCGCCGATGACCCATCTGGCGCGCTTTTTTGTTTTTTAATTTCCGCAAAAGTGATTAAATATTATAACCAATGAAAAAATTAATTTTAAAACAAACGGCGCGCCATAGACCCCGACGGTACAAATTTGAGTTTTCAAGTTATGGACCAAAAGACACTCGTTAAGCGCAGGGGAGGTTATAAGGTGCGTTTAACTGTGTACATATAAACACTTGGAGAGTTTGCGAGACACGAGTTCACAAATCTTTGATTTATATTGGAAACCTTGCCAGACACTCTTTCCCTCTCTTTGACCGGAATAAGACTCAGCCCCAAACAAGCAAGACGAGTGAACAACGGCTTACTTATCACTAGCAGATTGATGGACATTTACTGAAATTCACCGACAATCAAAT